GGAAAAGTCCACGCGTTGGAGGGACTTCGAAAGATCCACGATAATCCGTATCTTCACGGAGAAGATATGACGTTCATTGCTCCAGATTTTGTTGATGATTTACGAGGCGAGTCTGGCGAGGAGCAAAAAGAAGCCAATGCGCACTTTATGCTCGCATTGGCACTTTGTCATACCGTTATAGCAGATCATATTCCGGGCGATCCCCCTAAAATTGACTTCAAAGCTCAATCGCCAGATGAAGCAGCACTCGTAGCAACTGCTCGTGATATGGGATTCACTGTTCTCGGACATACAGCAGACGGTATCAGAGTAAATGTTATGGGCGAAGAAATACACTACCAAATCCTCAACACGATCGAGTTCAACTCTAGCCGAAAACGAATGAGCGCTATCGTGAAGATGCCCGACGGCCGTATTGTTCTATTTTGTAAGGGTGCGGATAGTATTATATATTCGCGCCTGAAGCGTGGTGAGCAAGCGGAGCTTCGGAAGACTACTGCTGAGCACCTTGAAATGTTTGCTCGGGAAGGCCTACGAACCCTATGCATAGCCGAGCGTGTACTTTCTGAGCACGAATACCTCGAGTGGCGTAAGGAGCACGACAAGGCCTCCACCGCGTTGCACGAACGAGAAGAGAAGTTGGAGGAAGTTGCCGACAAGATTGAGCAAGAATTAACTCTTCTGGGAGGAACAGCAATCGAAGATCGCCTTCAAGACGGCGTACCCGACGCGATCGAATTGCTCGGCCGAGCAGGAATTAAGCTATGGGTACTCACCGGAGACAAAGTCGAAACTGCTATCAACATTGGTTTTTCCTGCAACCTACTCAATAACGACATGGAACTTATTAATCTTAAAGTGAAAGAGGATGAAACTGGTTCGACACCTGATGATTTATTCGTAAACGAAATTGGACGAGAGCTAGATGCGAAGCTCAAGATGTTTGGTATCACTGGTGACGACGAAGACTTGGCCCGCGCCAGGAAGAATCATGAGCCGCCAGCGCCAACCCATGCTCTCGTGATCGACGGGTTCACTTTGAGGTGGGTGCTCGATGACAGCTTGAAGCAAAAGTTTCTCCTTCTCTGCAAGCAGTGCGCCTCCGTTCTTTGCTGTCGTGTCAGTCCTGCGCAGAAGGCTGCTGTTGTATCCATGGTCAAGAACGGTCTTGATGTCATGACGCTCTCCATCGGGGATGGAGCCAACGATGTCGCGATGATTCAAGAAGCGGACGTCGGTGTAGGTATCGCCGGTGTTGAAGGCCGTCAAGCCGTCATGTCTGCCGATTATGCCATTGGTCAGTTCCGGTTTCTGGAACGATTAGTTTTGATTCATGGCCGCTGGTCCTATAGGAGGATGGCGGAAGCGATCGCCAATTTCTTTTACAAAAACATGGTTTGGACCTTGTGTATTCTTTGGTTTCAGTGTTTCTGCAGCTTCGACATCACGTATCTCTTCGAGTACACTTATATCCTTCTATTCAACCTTATCTTCACCTCCGTGCCCCCAATTGTCATTGGTGTCCTCGACCAGGATGTGTCCGATAAAGTCTCCTTAGCTGTTCCTCAGCTATATCGACGTGGCATTGAACGGCTTGAATGGACCCAGCACAAGTTTTGGTAATTATATCTCCCTATTTGATTATGTTTAACTGAATTTGCTAACAAGGAGTAGGTTTTACATGTTGGATGGTTTATACCAAAGTGTAATATGCTTTTTCGTTCCATACTTAACCTTTGCATCCACCTCGGCCGTTACCGCAAACGGACTTGATGTGATGGATCGGTATCGATTCGGCGTCTATGTTACGCATCCGTGTATCATTACAATCAATCTTTACATCCTCATCAACACATACCGATGGGACTGGCTTACGCTCCTTATTATTGCTCTTAGCGACCTAGTTGTCTTCTTTTGGACCGGTGTTTATACATCATCAACATTTGCCGGTACGCTTTACGAAGGAGCTCCCCAGATTTACGGCGAAGTTTCGTTCTGGGCGGTTTTGATTGCGACTCCGATTCTTGCATTGGCTCCTCGGTATGCTATCAAGGCCTTGCGCAAAGTTTACTGGCCCCGAGATGTGGATATCATTCGGGAACAGGTTACCATAGGCAAATTCGATAAACTGGAAAATGAGAGTCCAAGCGAGGTCCTAGTGAAATCCAGCTCTTCGGGATCATCGCAGTCGTCTAGGCGCCGACGACACCAGCAATTCGCAAGCGTGGACGAAGATTTAAAACCTATTTATCCACCTTCTGTCGCGACTCAGTCTATTGCGGGTCATAATTCTCGTAGCCAGAATGGCAGCGACGGCACTAATTATACTAGACACGAGCCATCGATTGATGTTCCTGTTGCTCAACCGGTTGATCCGCCTCCTGAACCTCCGGTACGCCCATCGCACGATCGGGTTCGTCCGTCTTACGACCGTATGCGAGCTTCGATGGATCGAGTTAGGCAGAGCTACGAAATGTCCAACGAGTTTACTTCAGCTGCCATGTTAAGCAGATTTGAGTCGACTCGTTCCGGCGTTGCACAATCAGAGGAGGATAATGGGATTGTCAGCAGAATAAGAAGGCGGACTCGGGGTAAATCCTTCAAGTCCGCATTCATTCACCATAAAGACAACCATATCCATGAGCATGAATAAAAAACACTTACGATGGCTCCCGCAATAATCCTTGAAAGATGGCGTGATGTTCGGGTTTTGGCTTCTTTTATTGCATTCGATGTGATATCCGGAGCACCATGTGCTCAAGTACGATATCGGACGAACTATTCACGATACCGCTATGGTTTTCTAGCCAGGCCACCGAATCAAACGTTCCAAATGGTCTTCCTTTTCGTTTTTTTTGCTCGCTTCCATTTACAAAGGCGTCGGCGTTTCTAGGGTGCATGGAGTCTGTGGGAGGACTTATATAATGAGATGACGATGTTGGTCAGAAGGTTGAAGGTTCTAGTTTCTTGCATCATAGACTTTCTTCTCAAGTCGAGGTTGCACAACGTGTCACCGCCAGTCCCTCTCGAGGGAGACCCTTATTATATCTCGAATTACTATTGTTACAGAGGAGAGTTGGTGCCTCGTCTTTGTTCTTTTCTTGCGTTCTGTTTTCTTTTCTTCACTTGAATTTTTCACTATAGGCGAAAGGCTGGTGACAAGGCGTTCTACCAAAAGACTAAGGCAGGATTTGACACCTGGATGTGATAGCATACCGTGCGCGCAGCAAACAAGAAAGCAAGAAAGCGAAGAGAGAGAGAGAAGTTACGGGATTCTTAAGGCATGGTGGGCTTCCGCCGCCTGTGTATATAAGATGATGGATAAATGCGACGAGTAGAGCATCGGTGGCGTGTGGACGAGTAGATACATATAATCGGCCAGAATTGGTACTTTGAAGATAAAGACGTCACTTTCAGTTTATTCATTTCTAGTTTAATGTGCAGCCGAATTTTTATTCCTGTTATTGTTAGGTGAGACTTGCCAGTCTTGAAATTTAAGATATTTAAGGGGAATGAATATATGTGGAAATTATGGTTTAATACGAGGCTACCTGGTATGGTTTATCAACGATGTCCTCGATGTAAAGTCTGTGACTGTTATTGCTGAAGTAGATAACTAGTAAGAACGTGTAGTTAGGTAAGTTATGTTTCCTCATAAAGCTCATCTACCGTCCTTTTTACCAGCTATAATTTCAATACGCCCCCATTATAATATCCTCGACGACTGTAATTCCTAGGTAAATTATAATAGGAGAATAACGCGAATGTGATAGATCTGCTCAACACATACTGCAAGGTCAAGTCCATCACAAATGTAAGAGTACTAGGGATTCATAGTCAACTGTCAAGGTCGAAACGGGGCCTCTCCTCTATATTATCGCCATGTTAGCCTCGACGCTCGCTCGTTCTCACACCTTTGGTTCACGACGCTACATACTAGGCATTTGGGGCTCCTTCTTGGAGCAGTATACCCAGCCGAAGAGCTTCGTAACTGTTTTCTTCAGCGCGGCGAGTATTTTCCCGCGTTTTCGTAACGGGATGTTGATGGCTTGGAACAGGGGCTCCATTTTGGGATAAATTAAGAATTAATATCGTTTTTTTTTTTTTTTTTTATCTTTCTCGAGCATGGTGTGTTGAAAACTGTTGGTTTTTGGGGGAGCATCTTCTTTACTTTAATAGGTGGCCCTCCCGCTCTGACGGTATCAATGAGAATCATAGGATGAACCTTGTTTGCGAAATTTATACTCAGTATCGTATCAGGTATTAGTGTTCAGATAGTGGTAGTCTGTGTGCTATAGTCGATGGTATAGACATTCAAGCTGATATTAATAAGCTAGCCGAAAGCAAAACTAAAACGACGTTATACATCTTGAATTATTTACCTGAGTATAAGTCAATACTTTATTCATTAACGCGGCTCCAGCCCGTTCGCTTACTCCTCCGTCACTTCATCGTGGCTAGGTACCTATGCTATGTGGTTATAATGCGTCTACTCTCAAACTAATATTTGGTAAGAGTATTCCATCGTCAAGTGAACGAGCCTCTTAAGCATCACCCCGCGCTATGACACTGTAGGGCGGTGTGGTTGACCTATATAGAAACTCTTTTTCTTCGGATATATTATATCCAGAGTTTATACATCAGGTATAGTACCCAAGGTATAATTCTATGATGAGGTGCTAACAATAGTCCTTTAAATACTTGAAGGGCTTAAAGTGACATTAGTAAGAGGGCTGGCACCAACGATAGTAAAATGTTAACAATTAGGTATTATCATTATTTGGGTTATGATGATAATGGAATGACCAAAGATGAAAAATATCGAAGTAGCATAGAAGGGTCTACATCTACTATTCCAAGCAGCGTTATGCGCCCATGACTTAGCATCGAAAGGGTGAATCCATCCATGTCCTCCTAGCTCCCTTTTCCTATAAGGACGATATAGTTCATAAGCCACACTTTAGAGGGAAGAGAAATAGGCAGCAATTCCCTGAAACCTGCTACTGGTTATAAAGCGATTGTAGAGGGGACAGCAAGGTACTGAGTAGCTATTGGGTATTAGTAAATGGGAACTTAAAACATTAACATAGGTAGGAATAGACATACCCAGCGTTCCAAGTCCTCCTCATTCTCCCTGAGCTCTTCGTATCGTGAATCCATAAGTTCTGATTACACCGGATGTTAGTTTTCTTAAATTACCTCTTATGCAAACTATTGCCTGAGGGAAATAAAAGCTCACCTGCTGTTCGATAGAGGACGTCCTGGATATCGGCATCATACTCTAGGCCGTCTAGGAACGCCTTCACCTTTTCCTCGTCCTCGGCATAGCTGATATTCTTGCCGATTTGGCTAATGGAGAATCTGACCACTGGTGGAGTTTAGCTCTGTCATTTCCTAGATATAGAAGCCAGAGAACTTACCGTCTTTCCTATAGTTCTCCTTACTATTTTCAAATCTCATGGCGCATTCGTGGATCTCCTTGCGGAATCGATCCGCGTCTTCGTTCTCGTTCTCGTCTAGCTTACCAGTGGAGCCACCCTTGCCGGCTTTCTCTCTGGTGGGATACCCATCTGTGGTCACTAATACTAGAAAGGGGCGCTTGAGTGGGATGCCCGCGTCAACATCCTTATAAATAAGGGGGTCAAGGACGTTCTCCCTCAACTTTGTACCGATAGGTGTCCATCCCTCGGGATAAAAGCCCTTGAGTTTGTGTTCAATTTGGTCCTTATTGAGACCATTAGCATCAGGTGTTTCTTGATTGATAAACCGAAGGTGGCAACCTCTGTTAAGAGGGTCTGTCCGGCTAGCGATGCTGCTAATTCGTTTGACAAGTTCGACCTGAGCACGCCATCTATCTCCCTTCCCTTTACCATTCTCTTCGCTCCACATTGATCCGCTATCGTCTGATATACATTTAGTTCAAGTAGCGTTTCTCGGGTGGAACTAACGCTTACCGCAATATAGAATTGGCTGATATAGTGCTAATTTGGCAAGACCGTCGACCTGAGAAGGCGAGTTCAGAGGATTCTTCGGATCGTTCTTGAGTTCGAATGCCCTTTCAGCCACATCTGTAAGATAAGGATCGTTGGGAGAGAAGAACTTTTCGAGGCCGCCCCTTTGACATCTTATTAGCGGTACCGCACCAAAAACAATTTGTTTGTCTTTTGGTAAAGACACATTTAGATGCTGAAATGCTGGGAATAATACTTGGAGAGTCTACGAATATTGGAACTAGTTACCTTTTGACTGCATTATTTAGGTTATTTTTGAAATCCTCCACTGTCTGAGGTTCTGCGATATCCTATGTCAAGTCCCGAATTAGTAACCAAAGAACATTAGTATACCCGGGTTGACATTCTCACCTCTCCTGGTGCTGGGTTAGACCCTGGAACTTTGTAATAAGTCCCAGATGAGGCATCAAAGATGTCTGCAAGGGGACTCCAAATATCGTAGTAGGCGAGAACCTTCAGTACCCACTCGTTAATGTAGGTTATGAGCCCCCCTTTACCCTTGGTTGCGATTATATCAAGGGCCTCCTTAACGGCAAGGTCCGATGGCTGCAGCTTGTCAGCTATATCCTTTGCAGTTTGGCCACTGGCATTTTTCTTTTCTTTTGAAGCCCCTGCTTCCACAAGCAGCTTGATGGCCGCGGCATCGCCTTTCCGGGTAGCGACCATCAATGGGGTCTCGTTCCCGAAAGATGCAGGCCCCGCCTCATCGAAACTGTTCGGGTTCTTAGCAAGAAGAAGCTGTATCATTCTGGCCCGTTGCTTTGGTGCGCTTGCGGCCATGAACATTGGCGTTCTTCCATCTTGAGTCTTCGTGTCTGGGTTCGCGCCGTTGTCCAACAGGAGCTTCACAGTGGAAGAATTTCCCTTCCGTATAGCTGCTGCCAATGGGGTGAGGCCCGACGCCGGGTCTGGCTTATTGATAATTGATGGGTCACCTTTGAGGTACTCGGCAAGCTTGATCTTGTCCAGGGCTGGTGGAGTAGCTCCTGCGTCGATCCAGAGAGACATGTTGTGCGGGTCGTTGTGATATCGAATGAAAAGCTAAGTAAATCTGCAGATTCTAAGTGTGGGAATAGTACTGTGGAGCGCATATGCATTCATGCGAGGGAAGAGAGTCGGGTATTTCTATGATATATGCTATACTGATAGAAGCTGTACGTATATTGGTTTACTAGATGGTCCCATGCCTTAGTATTCCTATCCTAAGTATTCCCTGTGCTCTCAAGTGGCTGGCGGAATGACAAGCCATTTCCCCACGGAGATGCGATTATTCATACCAGTCTGTATACATTCTATACGCTGTCCTTTCTAGTGGCTTTCGGTCTAGCTGAGCTCAGCAATATAAGCGTTGCTTTGCTACTGGCTGGTTGACTTTCTCGTAGCCGATAATGTTAGTGGCTTGCTAAGATCGAGGAGCTGTCTCTATCCGTGAAGGGGTCCCGGAACAGCGAGGTAGGCGGTCGTAAATGGCAAGCCGACATGCAAGACGAAAAAAAGCAGAATTCAACCGAGACTACGAGGAGAAATAAAATCAAAAGAAATACAGTGGAAATTTATAAACAAGACACCTTGTATCAACTCTGTTTAACTCTCCGATCTCGATCATAATCGGATAACACGGTATTTTATATTTACTACGACACTCAGTATACTTTCAACTATTGTAGCTTGCACAATATCCCTATTATATATACGCGAGTATGGACGTTAATGTTGCGGCATTCCTTGTCGGGCAAGAGAGAAAGCCTCTCGTTATAGGGGAAGCAGAAGACAGATTCGCAGACGAAAGTGAGATCGTCATCAAGACTGCCGCTGTTGCAATGAATAAAATCGACACAAGTATGCAGGACGAACCATGGACCGTCTTCAACTACCCGTTAATATTAGGTTCCGACGTGGCTGGTGAAGTTGTGGAAGTCGGATCCCTGGCCAATCAATTCAGTGTTGGGGATCGTGTCTTAGGCCACGCACTTCGTCTAGCAACGGAAGATGACCGCCACGGTGCGTTTCAGACCCATACTGTCTTGATGTCTAATATGGCGTGTGTTATCCCACCATCTCTGTCTTATGAGAACGCCGTTGTTCTACCCTTGGGTATTTCAACCGCGGCGGCCGCGTTATTCCAAGATGACACTCTGGCGCTTCAGCCACCCAAGGTGAACCCCGAAGAGAAAGACATCTGGGTCATAGTCTTGGGCGCGACGGGGTCCGTGGGCAGCAATGGTGTTCGACTAGCAGCAGCAGCCGGCTACAAAGTGGTCGGAACGGCGTCGCCGAAAAGTTTCAGCCTTGCAAAGCAACTAGGTGCAACAGAAGTAGTTGACTATAATCATCCTGACCTTGCTAATGAATTGGCTCGAGTGCTGTCTGGAAAGAAGACCGGGGGAGCATTCGATGGGAACGGCAGCCAAGAGACGATCAAGACGGCTATTGCAGCTGTCTCTCAGTGCGACGGAAATAAGATTGTTGCAACAGTAGGGGATTGGATTGATCCAGACTGGATTCCGAGGGGCGTCAAGGCACTTCCGATCATGGCGGTGGCGATTCGAGAAAATAAGGTCGGCCAAATGGTCTACGAGGACTTTCTACCCCATGCATTGGCGGCAGAGAAGTACATGAAGTACCCCGAGCCGCTTGTGTTTGGTGAAGGGCTCAGCTCGATCCAGGACGCCCTTCAAAAGTCTAAGAGGTCGGGAGGCAAGAAAGTGGTAGTGACAATTAAGTGAACCGCGCACGCGTATCTATTGCGAATCTACGATTGCCAAGGTTTATAGCTTCATCTAGAGGATCCAATTTAGAAGATCGACGACTAGTGTTCAGCTGCTTTCGAAAATGATAGGTAGTCCATATACATAAATGTACCTCGGATACTCACGATCTATATGTTGTCTCAGTAATATTCACCGAGCCACTGACCGATGGGGACCCCGATTCGAGCTAATGCAACAGAGATAAATGACCAACCATGTCTTGTTCGCAATCCATACTCGGCATGGCGAGCGGCAGGTATATGCAGACTTCCCGTTTTAGATCAACGGTGAGAGCCCTTGGGATCTGATTCGCTGCTGAGAAATAGTAAAATCAACAGTCTAGAATAGCCGTTTATATACTCATCATAACTGTACATGTATCTTCTTCAACTTGCCGTAATTGACATTCCTAACGTCCATAAGTAAAATGGGTTCTAATAGTAGATCGCTACCTGTATTAGACGCGCCGCTAGACCACGACTTTCATAGCGGTTGGGGAAGTGTCTACACCAATCGCAGTACCGTGAGCGACGAGGAGACCCTTCCACTATGGCTACAGTACGCCTCAGACAAGAGTGCAGTAGATAGGAAGTACCAGCAACTCCTTCACGAATATACCGACCTCTTCAGCGATTTCTTTGGTGGTTACTACCCCATTTCCATGCACGCTCATGCGACAGACGCCTTGCTGCCAACAACGATCGCCAGCTTAATCCTGAATACCATCGCTACCAGCCCCCTAGTTTTTAACTCGCCTACTTTAAAACCAAAACCAGATGAGAATCCAGAGGATACTGGGAAACGAGTACGCGATTTCGCATTGGGATTTCTGGGCTGGGACAATACACATGTCTTGTCACCCAACTTCATCGTTGCTGATAACATATACGGTGCTGGATATGGACCTCTCGTATGTGTATCTGCTGTACTCCTGAGAAAAGAAGTAAATTACTAATTGATAGGTTCAAAGGCACATACCTCGAAGGAATGGGAGATCAGCGCAATTGCGTCGGGTCCCAAACCTATCGTTGTCAACATGAAGGATGGGACAGAAGAGGCATTAAACGTTCAATTTGCAGACGCAAAGGCGAAAGGGTGCATCGCAGTAGTTTTCGATCTAGTTAGCACGGAAGATGGCGCCGTGCTACACCCAGACAAGTTCGGGATGATTAAGTCATGTTGTGCTCGGAATAAACTGTTACTCATTGTCGACGAGACTATGACGGCGATGCGATGCGGGGCTCCTTTCGCATTCCAACGGCCTGAATACGCTCAGATGGGAGCGGATAAGCAGCCCGACCTCGCCATATTTGGGAAAGGTATTGGCGTTAGTGGTATCGCAATAGGATTCAACGGGATCATTACCACTGGCTTCACTTACACAGGCCATGACGATATCCGCCAGACAATACGATACTGGCGTGCCCTTGTGAGCCGGCCCGTAAGAATACCCATCCTACTTGAAGCTCTCAGTATTCTACGAGCAGCACGAGCAGAAAACTGGTCGGCAAAGAGCGAGGAGATAGGAGGAGCTATACGAGACGTTATATTAGAGCTGGATCCTAGCACTAACAAGCCGGATGCGGTCCGAGGTTTAGGAGCCGTGGTTGCGGTGAATAGGGAGGTAGCAATGAAGTTTCGCGTCATGTCAGCCATTCGGCGGAGAAGCCCTTGGGTACGATGGCTGCCCAAGCTGAGTAGTGCATCTGCCGATCGGGAATTACTCAAGAAGCAGGTCTTCGGGCACGAGAGCGAGGCGCAGAGGCAAGTTCTGGCGAAGGAGGCAGACCAATGCGGTACTATCCCCTTGTGGTGCTTCATCTGCGGCATCGAAGCTACTTCTAAGGATTGGTGCAGGACGTGCTATTTGTCGTTTTGCGATAATGAAGTGTGCGTGCAGGCTTTCCGGAGACATGCTTGTGAGGTATAGATGCTCGCTATATTTAGAAGTTGAGAACTGAATGGAAAAGTTAACTACCTACCTAGACTTAACTATCGGTACTCTGCTTAACAATTTAGTAGTTTGACGGTCAGAGGAAATGAGATTTGAGATTTGATCCCATTAATTAGCACTAAACGAGCGTTCATATTCATCAATCATATAACAGACATATGTAGGTTAGGTCCCCAATTGACCTAAAAAGGAGAGATAATACAAGACCTGAATTCATGGCACACCGTTCTTGTTCTTGTATGTCGTCGCGATAATGTCCCTTGCCAACACCGGCTGCGCTGTCGTCGGCGAGGTGTAATATCTAACATGCGTTATGCTGTTCTTGATCGGCCTTTCCACGGCCTGGATCCTTCTTCCATCCACATAAACCACGAACTGGTTCTCTTCAACGTCGACTCTAAGCTGCGGGCTATCCCCAAACCAAGGATCAGGCTCGAGTTCCACAGTCACTCCGTAGCCCCCGCCGGCCGGCTTGCTGTTGCACTGCACTACGCGTCGCTTGTTTTTAATTACCATGCCGAGTAGTATGTCGTAATTCTCTACGTCTCGTGAACTCGCCGTGCTGGATGGATCCCAATGAAGAAGCGCGATGCCAGTCCCAGTCTCGCGACGCGGCGTCTCGAGATCCATCGTGGGAGATTGGAAAACGATGGAGCCTCCGGTGGGGACCTCCGCTTCGAGCTGGGAGATCTTGGCGACGCTAATGTTATTGGAGACAACCCCACTACGGCGTACGTTAGACTTTTATATCACAAAAAGAAAAAGGGGTAAACTTACGTGGGCGTCGGGGGTTTACTCGGGCTTGTTCCAAGCGATGGGATCACCTCCGGGTCTGGGAACTCTGGTTTGACTTGGGGATCATTCGTGTAAGTCATCTGGGTTTTCGATACAGATATCCCGAGTTTCATCGAGTCTTTCCACATTTCCTTGGGGACTGTTTTCCCGCCCTGTTCGAGCCCGTTCGAGCCCGTTAGTCAACGTCTGTCAAATGCATCATATTCCGCATGATCACTTACCAGGTCTACAATCCTCCAGTACATTCTAGCCAACACCTTCTCAACAGTAGGTGGCTGGAGATCCGATAGCTCATGCTGCTGGATCATCTTGATAAGATATGAAGTGACGGGAACATAGGCTATTGCCTGTGTATCTCTCTCTTCTCCTTCTTTACAGTTGCTGCAGACCTCTTTTCCATCCTGCTCTGACGGCTGACTGAAGTTGAATACGTTGGTGACGAAGTCTTCTGTTCGAAACTTGTTCTCGGTCTCGCCTTCGGGTCGCAAGAAGACTTCGATGTTGAATGGATAACCACCCAAAGCAAATCTAGAGAGTTGAGTAAGTAGAAGCCGGGATAGCTATGAAAATTTTAAAATAACTTACTTCGAGTACCGAATGCTAAGCGCGTAGTCATTCATCTTAACTCCGCCCTTCCCAGCATCTTGTCCATATTCATTATCAATTATCTCCATTCCTTTAGGCACATCGGTCATCTGCAATCCTTCCTGCCGGGTAATCCCATACGTCTTGTTCACCATCTCAAGTAGCTGAGCCCCAGTCTCCTTGCCAGTCTTTAGCTCAGGGTACGTATAGCCCAGTTTAAACCAATCGCGAGTGTCATCCGGTGTCCAAACTGTACCCATTTCGTCTTTATGGAAGGGGCGTAGAGGGGTCTTGTTGGTGATTACATCTCCACTTCCAATAATCTTTTGGTCGAAGTATCGTTGGTTATCCGTCTCGAACCACTTGCCTGGGTTCAGGGTCTGCCATATGGCGAACAAACGATCGAGATTGCTAGATCATATTAAGTGAAAAGTCAGCAACAAACGAGCAGTTGCTGGAAGAATCTCTTACCAGTGATGTAACCAGAAGACCGGGTCGAATGTTGCTACTGGAATTTGGGACATATGCCCGCCATCCCCCCCAACCCAATAGTGGACATTATTATGGATGAACTCTAAGTTTATGTCGTTTGTGATGCTTGATGTACTAGCAGTTGCGCTAGAAGAATTCTCGTCTCTAGCAAGAGTAGCAAAGTGAGGATAATCCATCGGATAGGTCAGCAATCGGTACACTAGTTCTGCCGCAGTGCCGTACGGGAATCCAGTAACAGAGCTATACTTGGTCAAAAAGTCGTCCACCTTTTCATCATGGACAACTCCCTCTATCCAAGCCTTATTATCAGGTTTGCGCTCGTTCTCATCAGGGCATCGACTCGTGGCGTAGCATTCTCCATACTGGTGAGTAAACGTTATTGGTGAGGCCAAAGGAAGCAATAGGGATAAACGAAGTACCTATTACTAACCTCAAGAAATTCATCGCCGTCGGGGAACTTTAGCTTTCCTACCCCATAAACCCCCATCTTTTTGTCATTCGGCATCTTGAACTGGTAAAGGGGGTTGTCTATGATCACTGACGGATCATCTCCGATGGTGATCTCAATTCTCTTCCAGCGAACTATCTCCGGCACTTTGGGATTTTTAGCCCAGTCCCAAAATGGTAGTCGCCATGTTCGAGCAGCATCTAGATACTCGGTCTTGTATCTTGGATGTTCCGGGATGATTTCGTTCACCATGATCTCATAGAGACGTTGCTATTTCACAACCATAAGCGAAACACGATACACTAAGCGATAACCAAGAGTATTTACGTGCCTCATAGAGCAGCATGTATGGTCGATGCCACGAAGGGAAAAGAACGTTCGCGTGAACACAGTAGCCCTTCCTCCCCACTTCATCGGTGGTGGTGGAAGGCTCGTCCCAGGACGTGTATGGATATCCATGAATACCTACACTTCATTCAGCTCCTATCTAGAAGGTACTCGGAGGTGGCAATATTCACCTGCTATTTGAAAATACGAATCTCTTTTTTCAGGAGAGACTGCTTGGAACCGTTTAAGAGCGAGCAGATATAGTATCACTTGGATCTTGTCTTTGGCATCGGTACTCTGGGACCACTCGTCGAAGTCTCGCCTAATTGGGACTTGGCCATTGGAATCCCAGCCCTCTTTAATTCCCGTAATAGAGTAGTACTTGTAGGACATCCCGCTCCCTATATGACAGAGAGGCAAATTTAGGATGCTTTAGGTAATCATGGAGAATATGTGAGGAGTAGTGTTGCTAATAGAGGTCCAAAGCAAGGGGTGTTTAGGATATACTGCAATATTCTTTAAACGTTTTACTACTATGTTCCTACTTACATAAAGGTACCATCCTGTATTTGATATGCTAATAATGAAACTATGCGAATAAAATTTCTACAATTTTAATATGATAGGATCGAAAGGTTGAGATAGGTATGACGCAGAAGTTCGTACGGGTATGAACTAACTCCTCACTTATTGATTTTACACCCGAAAGGTACACAGCGTCGAGGATCTCCCCCTTGGATGCTTTTTAACTGGTGGTAAATTTATTTGCTTTTAGCTACCGTATCTGATCTGCGCTTGCGGCCGGCTTTCGATGGACCAATCAACTAAGATACGTCTCACTGTCGTACGAATGGATTAATTGCTTTATCGCAATATAACCCCATCAGGTCGGTGAGTGAGGCCATGTGTCGAGGCCTAGTACGGTACTCTGCAAGTCGCTTGTTTAGTAAGATTAGGTGACAACCTAGCTCACTATGCAAGAATACATATTAATGGTAGAATGTAAACAGTACTAATTGGTAGTACTGATCTGAAAATGTATAGGAATATACGTATACCACAGCACCCGATAGTTTGACAGGGGAGCTATGATCGGCGAGCTTCGGATTTGGACTGGGCTAAATCAAGATGGGCGTCGATAGTTACAGCACGGACGGGATAGATAATATATATGTCAGCATTTGAGGCTGGCTGCATACGGTGGACGGTTAAGACATAAAAAAGCACGGTTTGGTTTTGAAGCGAGGAAAGGTGTTCTAATAAAAGGTTGGAAGTTCTATAATATAAAAATAAAAAAACGTATATTTTATTATTATTTAAATAAAATTAAAATTTTTAAATCGTTTAATAAACAAATTAATTAAATATTATATTATAAAAATAATCAACTTAAAAACGTAGTTAAATACCGATAATAATAAATGTTTATATTTATTTTAAAGTAACGGCTAGCATGTTAAAGTATATTAAAGCTCGGGACACTTGCATAAATATTGGAATGGACAGGGAGAAGCTTTTAAAATTACTTATTATGAAACATATTTTCCAAAAGAATTAAAAAGCTCAAGGGGAGGACTTGTAAAATAACAGAACATTCATTTACATTTCCTGATATTTCCTCTGTTGTTGGTACTAAATCTATTCAGGCTCAGAAGAGTACTGTCACAAGTGAACAATGACAATAGATATCGTCGAGAGAGATTCGGCTAACCGCCTGGATCGTTCAACATGCATTCTACTGTCTTCAAGCCATGATTCTACTTCAACTGGGAGAGCTGTTATCAATGCAAACCTCGATCACGCGAAGGAAAAAAGATGTCCATCATCCGTCACCCCGGAAGTATCACTCGAGACGCTCTTGAAGGCTACTTGGATCTTGACTCTGCGGTGCTTCGTTGTAGCCGATATCATTTGCTTCAAATACTATGGACCTTCGAACTTAAACAAGACCCCCCAACAGAGGCTAGATGCAAGGAAACAAGAGAACAAACAAGTGTCGGGTCGATATTTCACACGCGTTGACCCTGGGGAACCTATAAGTTCGTTTTTAAAGCGACTCGATGCAAGTCGCTTATCTTCCAACGGAACAATCGACCCTATCGGTCATGACATTGGCGTTGCTGATGAGCAATCACTTCGCCACTATTGTAATACGAGCCTGTATGTTCGCGAGCTGGATGAATGTGATGAAAGGGAATGCGGTTCCTTCGCTGATCTTGAAGTAAGTTTAACCAATAATCGATTTATCTGCAGGCAATTTACTTACACTATATCGGCAGGATGTCAAACTCATTGCTAGTCCATCGAAGTCGCGCTGCTCTGTAAGGCTGGCGTGTCGTTTATCTCATACCAGCAGAGACATGGCAACCGGCATTTTTAACACATTCCAACACATTTATACCCAGGTTTCCAACGCTTCAGAGCATAGTTTTCTCCGAGACATACGCGAATGCTCACCTCTGGATCAAGGAAAGATAAAAGGGTGGACATGTATGGATCCCACGCCTGGTAGCAGTTGTTTGCATACTCTGATACTGGAGCAATGCCGACTAAGGCCCAACGAGATGGCAGTTAGCTCCTGGGATGGAAACCTTACATATGAGCAATTGGACGACCTCTCGTTACGACTGGCTCACCATCTCATGAAGCTTGGTGTTGGCCCAGAAACCTTTGTGCTAAGTTGCTTTGAAAAGTCAACCTGGGCTATTGTCGCGCGATTGGCCATCCTAAGGGCGGGGGGAGCCTATATCTCGATTTTCGCCAGCAATCCGCCTGTTTATCTCGACTCCGTGATAACTCGTACCAAAACACGCATCTTGGTCACTGACTCGTACTTCGCTGATCGGTTCCGAGATACTGTCCCTGTTGTCGTTGGAATGTCCCCTGAATGGCTAAGGACTTTGCCAGCGGCATCTCGGGCATGCGAGACAGTCCATGCAGATAATGCATGTCTGGTTCTTTTCACGTCTGGCAGTACTGGAACACCCAAGGGGATCATCCAAACACATCAATCCTACGCTACCGCCATTAAGAACTACGCGCGAGACCTCCAACTTGGCCCGCACACGCGATTCCTTCAATTTGACGATTATGCCTTCGACATCAGCAACTTGGAGTTCTTGGTTCCTCTGATTATGGGTGGCTGCTGTTGCGTTCCCGGACCGATGAAAACCGTCCAGGATCTAACCAAGGAGATCAACTCTCTAGACGCTGATATCCTCTTCCTAACACCAACGGTAGCAATCAAGCTAGAGCCCAGCGATGTCCCACGTCTCAAGACTATGTGTATAGGGGGGGAGCCTCTCCCAAAGGACCTCGTAAGTAAGTGGGATGGCAGCACCACAAAACTGGTTAATCAGTACGGTATGGGAGAGGTGGCTATTTGTTGTGCCCTCAATAGAGATATTGATGTTGTAGGGGGCGCCAAAGTGGGACGCCCGTCAACAGGGGCTATTTGGGTTGTCAATTCATCTTCGCCCGAGAAACTGATGCCAATAGGGGCCGTAGGCGAGATACTAATAGAAGGGCCGCATCTATCCCGTGGATACCTCGACGAAACTTCGACGCGTCGGACAGAAGCCGGGTTCTTAAAGACGGTCCCGCGGTGGATGGTGGAGATGCATCCGGATAGGACCCACACTCGGATGTACAGGTCCGGAGATCTCGGCCGGCAAAACCATGACGGCACAATCACGTATCTCGGCCGTAAAGATACGATCCTTAAACTTGACGGCTGTCGCATTGACGCGCTAGAGGTAGAGCATCAGGCTCGTAAATGTCTTTCAGATAAGGACACCGTCGTAGTGGATCTGCTTGGCATCATCAACGGCCAAGACGAACCCAGTTTGACGGCCTTCGTCTACTTAGACGAGCACCCCGTCAGCACGCCTCTCGTGGCAAACGACGAACCATTCCTAAAAGATGCTCTAGAGGACCCCATTGCGAGTGTGGCGATAAAAGAAATGCAAGCTTCCATTGCGCTATCGCTCCCGCATTACATGATCCCGACGACTTTCGTGCTTATGTCGTGGATACCGAGAACGGCGTCGAAGAAGATCGATCGCAAGAAGATTCACATGCTGGGACAGATGTTCTACTTTTCTAGATTAGAACAGCTACCAAAAGATGTGTCCTACTCACAAAAGATCTAACAGTCGTCTACATAGATCTTTATGGGTCTGACATGGGGTTCAAAATTGATCAATCAATCTAGTTAGAGGATAGAATGAAACTAGTATTATTATAACCAAAACATCGTTACTAACAAGTTCCTAACAGATGATAACACAGAATATTTCTATTTCATATATAAGAAGTCATGTTATAGGTAAGTAAGGTGTCATGGTTAAGATTCACAATAAAAACCGCAAGTTAGATAATACTATAACTTGATACTTAAGGAAAAGTCTGAGTTGGATCATTTTCTTGCCTTTGTCCGCCTTCCTTTCCCACATATAATTTAATACAAAAGAGTAAAACCAAGTGTGGATGGGCTCCCGCTTGGTTTTGCTCCTAAACTGGGGGTTGCCTACCTCGACCCTATGTTACAAAATACAGCGAATTTAAGGATCGCTATGAAACCCTATCAACTTATTCTGTGGGGCGACGGCAACTTACCGCACCTTTTCGGAGGTGGTTCAAGTCCGGTTTTCCCCTTCGGGGGGTTTTCCGAGAAAGATTTGGAGTCATTGTAAGCACCTGGGTACCCAGATAGGTTGATATATAGCATTGTTATTTAACAGTATCTCCCGACCAGCAAAACTGGTCCCAGGCAGTGGCAGCGACACTCATCTTTTTACAATAATTTATAAAGATACCGCTTTATTAGAACACAAAAGTTATAATCCACCCAACCCACTCCAACCTAAATGTTGTCTAACATGCCTCTACACCAAAATCAAAGGGAAATTTCCAACTGTTACTTCAATAAAAAATTTGCACCTTAGTCCATATGTTTCGACTGAACATTATTGTATAAGTAATAAGACTCTTTTGTAGGAACTTTCCTAAACTTAGGCAAGGTTTTGGGGTAGGATGTGATCGTCATCTTGGTCTAGACTTGGGTCACTACTCCCAGAGCTTATAACAGACGCAGCTAGACCCTGGGCATATCTAGGGGCTAGGCTGAAATAAATTACAATAGGAGATCTAACCGTTAGTATATGTAGGAATATGGAAGTAATAGGTTCTTGCGGGAACGACGTCGTTCTCAGGGACGTAACGAGTATCTTTCGGGTCGGCAGGCTTCGATAGGAAGGGCTGGTCGGCCTCGGCCGCATTTCGACCTTCGCCATCGGACCGGATTTTATTCGCAATAATGCAACAAGCATAGTATGTAATGCCATAGGATACTCCACTTTGATCGGCAGCCCGGAGGAAGATTAGTGGCTTCGGCTTTGGGTAACCGGGATGTTAGAAAAAGACGGGAATCGGAACATCTTTATTTCACAAGTATATACACATGGAAGTATAGTTGATAAGTTTTAAACACTGTATGGATAACTATAGCGGGCTTAATTGGCTATTATCAGTTCGGAGCGCCGTTATTCCGATGCATCAACCTAATACGGTAGGTATGTTGCTTGTATTGAACCTTATTTTGATATCATATTATTATCTCTCGTCGCCTTTTTTCATTATTTGTTGTTTTTGCGCAATAGTACCACATGGTATATCAATCTCGCAATGCCTGTTCGTCCCTGAATAGCCCCTTTGACCTCCCCCAAAACCTACGACGAAAGCCAGGGGTGTTTTCTTGTTGTTAACCATCCTGGCTATACGCATGAGCCGCTATTAAGGTTCACCCATTACGGCAAAGGCATTGACTACGATTTGGTTATTTATGCTCTGGGGAAAGTATTGGTTGATACGTTAACAGATAAAGTTGATATACCTTAAGTAAGCACGGCTCTTAGGAATGATTCAAGGTTCGCCGAAATACCTATTTTTAGAATCAGGCGCGGTGTAACGTGGGGTCCCGCCGATACCGAATAACTACTACCGTATATAGGTCCGAGCCGAGTGGATGCCAGAGTACCATATACGAGACTGATACCTCGCCATATATTCGAGAATAAATATGCAAATGCTAGTGTTACTAATATCATATTCCTTTAGCGCTATTCAGAATATATTTGTTCGGATCTGGACGGTATTGTTTACGCAGCAGCATAAGTATTATTTCAATTTATCCAAGGGTTAGTTAGATTAACCTAGGAATAATAAATACTTACAGCGTAAGGAGCGTTTAATACTTTTCCCCTAATGCTATACAAGTACCTACGTTAAATAATATTTATTTTGCGGATATAATAATGTTTATGGTTGGTTGGTAAAAGGTAAAATAGCATTGAAGTGCTCGCTCGATACGGGAGTTATCAAAGCATCTTTTCTATTTTTTGAGGAAAAAAAAATTGGTCATCCCACCGCCTCTGGGTTCATGATCTCGTGGTACTTAAGATTAAAGAGCCAGGGATATAATCGTTATAAGGACTAAAGTCTCCACTGATGCGTAATTAACCTCAAGAAACCATTTGAAAATGCACCCACGGGGAGTCGAACCCCTGACCTTTGCTAATACATGTATGGTGGTCCATACAAACTGCCCATTGTCCCCTGACCGTGAGTCAATTCCTCGGTAGTGATTGTTGCTGCGTCGTTTTGACTTATGTGCCTAATCTGCCCCCGCCATTAGGGGGGTCTCTTAAGTACCTGGTAGGTAGGTAACAAGTATTGCTATTTTCACCTGGCAACGATTCCAAGCGGACTGTCAGTTCACTCATGTAACTACTAATTACCTAGGTACCTCTGTGTATCCTGTAGCTATAGTGACTTGGGGCTGATTTAGGCAGTTACTGCATATATAAACAATAACTAAATCCTAATTTTGTAACCCTAAATAATTAATCTAACAACAATGTCACCACCATTCTAGGAACCACATGTCTACACACAACTTTCAATTTAACTTATTTTAAAGCTACATCAGTTTATTGGATTCTTGCATCAAATCCCTCTTCCCTGAGAAGTACCTGTCAAACCTATTCTTAACCAACTCGTCCATAAATTCATCGACAGTTTGTTTTTTCAACCACATTACAATTTGAATATTCTCTGTATTGCGGGCCGTCACTGATTAATTTATTTCACATTCAATCATATTAATCGCCTCGACCCGCGCACCATGCCGACCAAATACGTTCCCCCTCTCTCCGCCCTTATCCCAAAAGCCTTGTTCGGAGGCCTTGCGTGGAAAACTCAACCTAAAGATGTTCTTGACGAGAACATGTACATTTACGAGAATAAGTGCCGATTACTTCTATATCACCCTCATTCTTTTCACATCGCCAAGGTGCTCTTTAAGGGCTTAAGGTCAAAAAGTCCAACACTAATCGGCCTAGCACTCTCACATGTCTATGAGTTTGCAGCCGAGAAGGTTGAGCTGTGCTCTTTCCTTGAACTGGTGGAATTTTTCGCGTATGTTAAAGACTCCTACGACTGGTCATCCCGCTTTAGCGACAAAGCATTTTGGGCATTCACATACAAAGCTTTCCACGCTCGACAAATCTTCCTCAACACAGTCATGAATCCGGACCGCGAAGACCCAACGGTACTGCCCTTGGCACGATCCCTTGATCTATTTCGAGATGCCTTCTTGAAAATGTACCCAATTGACCCAACTATGATACGCGAAGAGGGTGACAAGATTTGCCAAGAGAATATCGAGCTCGTAGAGGACATGGTTTACCTCAATAAGGAGATTTATAATAAGTATTTCCCTTATCATCTCACCCACCATGATGGACAAGGTGATGGCACAGACAAGATCGTTCTTTTCGAAGAGAGCAAGAAGAAGAACTCCAATGAAACCGCCAACCCGAGCATGTTGAAACATGAAGAAGTAGACATGTCGAAAATCCCGGACGAAGAGTTATTCTTTTACGATACAGAATGCAAGACCAAGCATCACGATGCTTTCCAGCATGTTTTGGACACGAAGGGTAAAATTGGTCTCAAGAGTAAAGGGCTACCTAAGAGGACGGAATCCATGAAGGGGGCGGGATCAGTGAGAAAGTACGACACCTTCAAGGACTACCGAGAGACGGGTAATGCGGACGATGTCGATGATACCGCTGAGCCAGACCCTTCAAATGAAGGCACAAATATCGTGGACAACGACGACGACGACGGCGACGGCGACGGCGATGGAATGCCAAATATGAAGAAGCTCAAGATCGAAGACGATAAGGCCGCGGTGTATAAGGACGGAGATGAGGGAGTACCGGATATCAAGAATCTTCATCTCGTAGATGATGAAGAATCATCCGACCCCTAATAGCGGATGTAGTTAGTTTAATAGCTACACCTGTAAATACACCTGGCGGCTTTGAGGTGACAGCTGGCAAAGTATCGGTGACGCCCAGCAGCCAAAAGTAAGGTTGCATCAAACGGTCGCACAATTTGTACTTTTGTTCGCATTTCTTTGCTGTACTCTATAAAAATAACAATACTAATATTAAAAAGAAAAACCCCCAATTTCCTCTCCTTAAGGTATACGTAGAGATCAACCAAATTACTTAATCCATCATGTCTTTTGAACACGCCAAGGTTTTAGCCACAGAACCCCTCGTAAGTTATCCGCCCTGGCACCCCGAATTAAACACAATCCTCTAACAGAGACTGTCATAGGCGAATGGCGATGCTGTCTGGACCAAACTTGTCAAGTAAGCATAGATAAAGCGTCCAATAGTTAAAACCACCTAATATTGTACTACTAACACTATTATACATCTAGGCTCACTTACACTGATTCCAAACTCCAAACGCGTACTTGGGAGTCAGCTGAGCGTACCACAAGGCCCAAGAAGAGTGAAATCGATGGCGTCGGAATTGTTGCCATTCTAGAGAAGCCTACCGGGCCTGAAATTGTTCTTCAGAAACAGGTTAGTGATTGGAGTTTCTCGTCGTCTCTGAATTCTGAGATTGAGATTTTACACCAGAGTAGCACGCGTTGTGGATCCGTGCTTAAGATGCTTAAAGGGGCTCCGTTTTATCCCCCTTTTCTTTCTTTCGGTTAAATATCGGATGCATGTTTGCTAACATCTATAACTCAGTACCGCGCACCTATTGACAAGGTTACCATTGAGGTTCCAGCTGGTCTTATCGACGAAGGCGAGACAGTTGAGGAGGCTGCTATTCGCGAACTGAAAGAGGAAACTGGTTACGTGGCTAAGGTATCTGAGACTTCGCCTATGATGTTTAATGGTAAGTGCCTCTGTTACTTAATATTTCCTGCTATTGTGACATAGACTTTTTCAAGAAGGCACAACTAGTTGCGAATACTGTTCATGTATCAAATAGCATCTAAAGGGTACTCACTCTTGGATGGCTAAGGAGGATACCAATTTGGGCTAGTCCTCCGAGTCTTCACATGGCAGTTGATGATAAGACGTAGCTTGCTAACAGAACATCACAGACCCCGGGTTCTGCAATACCAATCTACGAATGGTACACGTCACCGTTGACATGAGTCTGCCCGAGAACCAGAATCTGCAGCCAGAATTAGAGGAAGATGAGTTCATTGAGGTCTTCCTAGTCCCGCTGACCAACCTCTACGACGAATGCAAGAGGCTCGAAGCAGAGGGCTACGCAATCGACGCACGAGTAGGCACATTCGCCGAGGGAATCGAGTGTGCCAAGAAATTCAAGCTATGAGGTTTACAGCCGATTTATAATCATTCAGGGCTTATCGTAGGGTTGCGAAGACGGAACGTTTCATCAGTACTTTGTCCTTTATATAGACCTTCTGTTGTTGACGGATACCCTGTTTGAGATTTTCTTTTCGCGGTTAATAAGACAGAAATTAGACTGGGTTTTAGATTGGCCAATAATCCAGGAATGCCATTAATATAGGACTGATTACTTGTAACACTTGTGATTCTTAAACTTATGACGCTAAGTAGACATCCACATTAAGTATTAAGTATAGCAGCATCAGTTATAGTCACCGAGACTTAGTCTAAAATAATAACAGGTACTTACCTAGGTAGTTAAGATATGTGATATATACCTAGGTAAGGAACTGCGAAGCCTTTACTATGATTTTCATTAAAAGCTATTACTTTGACCAAGCTTGATTTGAAAAACATTAGTATTTAATGATTAGTGATAAGAGGTCAGGGGGTAGGAGGATAAAGACGACATTAGACATAATTGGAAGTATCGACTACGTTATTTCTAAGTTGCAAAGGGGCTCAGATGGGTTATTCCATTAATAATTTCTGACGTATCATTATTAGCTGAATACCTACCTAAGGTAGGCAAAATATGTTTACTGATCAGCTGGACTGCCGGCATTAGATTGGCTGGGTCTTCGTACCTTATGATAAACTAGTTCCCGCGCCATGCAAGTATCATGCATTGACGGCATCAGATAACTTCCCCGAAAGCGACCTCAACCAAGTATATTTTAATAGTATTTATCAGCAATGGGTTTTAACCAATAATTAAGGTCGAATTTTGGGTGCCTGGTTACTGACGGTGGCGGCACCGTGATAGAATAATCAGAAAATGCAGCCTCGGCCACACCCCCAAACGCCATTCGTTGACTGTCTACCATCAGCATTCTACCATCAGCATAACGACACCTTAAGACTACCTATGATGATAATAATAGAACATTCAAATGCGACATGCAAAATATATAAAGGGTGAGGGTTCTGAGAGACCCGGCCAACTTGCTGGAATACAATTCACTACACAACATTTATTACACAGTCTTCGAAAAACTTTTATTCCAAATACAATCTTATTCCATGATGTCTGCACCTCGCCTAATCGCAGTTGTTGGCGGCACCGGCGCCCAGGGTATCCCTGTCGTACGGGATCTTTTGCAATCCGGTAACTATGCCATCCGGGCACTTACGCGCGACGCCTCTAGCTCCCGCTTCCGAAAGCTTCAGTCCTTCGGGACGGTGGAACCAGTCATCGGCACGTTTGCCTCCGAAAATGACCTACGGGCCACGTTCCGCGGTGCTTGGGGCGCGTTCGTCAATATTGACGGCTTTAACTCCGGTGAGAAGACTGAGATCTTCTGGTCTATTAGGGCATATGAGCTAGCTATTGAAGAAGGCGTACAGTTCTTCGTCTTTGGGAACCTTGATTTTGCTTATAAAAAGAGTGGCTTTAGACCCGAGTTCAGGTCAGTCTTCTGTGTTTCGCTATAAGCCTTTATCCTTCGAAATCATCATCAATGAAATGCTATGCAGATTATATACTAACTATTGGATACGGGCAGAGCTGGTCATTATGATGCAAAGGGGCGTATCGGCGAGTGGATTCTACAGCAGAACCGCGAGAATCAGCATCGCATGAAGGCCGCCCTTTTTACAACTGGTCCGTATATGGAGATGACTATCTCCTATAACACACCCATGACCATATCTGTTGAGGATGGGGTGGCGACATGGCGTCTGCCTCTGAAAGACGGTGCCGTGCCCTACGTTTCCCTAGACGACTGCGGTTACTACGCAAAATGGCTATTCGACCACCCCGAACGAGCGAATGGTCTCAATCTCGAAGTTGCCATTGACCACATCGGGCGCGACGAACTAGCACAAGCCTTCGAAAAGGTCACTGGACACCCAGCTCGCGCCATTAACGTCGGCCTCGACGAATACTTCGCTAATGTGTGGATGGGGATAGACCCCTCGCTTCCTGCGGGGTATAACGCAGATCCGAACGACCCAGCGACGTTGAGTCTGAAGCAGAACTTCTCGGGTTTCTGGACTACGTTCCAGAATTCTGGCGGCAATAAGGGTGTCTTAAAAAGGGACTACAAGTTGCTGGATGAGATTCATCCTCATCGCATTAGGAGTGCGGAGGAATTCTTTCGGCGTGAGAATGAGAAGGGTATTAAGGAGGGATTGGGCACACTTTGGGATAGAGTCCAGCCTGGTCGGATTGGGCACATTTTGAAGATCACGGAGGATGGGAGAACTGGTACACTGTGAGATTGCGGAGATCTATGAATTATGGAAACCAGATTGGACATGACTCAGTTCACAAGATGCTATCTCTTCATAGTAAACATATTTTGAGCTCGTCTTTTGTGCGATACCTAGTAGTTTAGAGTTCACCGAGCTGAACCTATGCATGTAGTCTTACTATCCAGACACATAGAAACGTTTCGATTGAGCAGACACATATTTCTAATGATTTTACCTGACGGAATTACTCCATTTTTCACACCCTTAAACGTGTCATCATTACGGCGATTATAAACGGCGCCGGTAGCTTGGATACTAGTCCCCCTATCTAAAAGATCGAGGAGGCTTGTTAAAGATCTCCTATGTCATGGATGTAGATGAACCTAAGAACAAAGCCTGAACGCCTTAAAGTGGTAGCAGATACAGCCCCAATAAATACCTAGCCACTACTTCTGTCTATAAAATACCACATATGGGCCTCATGTCTCTAATTAAATACTAACAACTCTATTATTTCTTATAACGAACATGAAGCACTCGCGCGAAGCCAAAAAACCAACAGACGAAGACATTGAACACCGCCAGCGCCTGAGGAGCCGCAGACTAAGCATACATCACAGAGATGAGCCAAGTAATTCACCTGAGATAATTCACGGCCGACTGGGCCAAAAGCCCCCAGAAGTTGTGTTACCACAGCAGGTAGATTCAGACCCAGGGAGAAGACGAGTATCTGCCCCCGAACGAATCCATCGCATGCCTCATGAGAAGAAACCCCACTACACTGATGCTAGGAAGACGTCGAAAACAGCCAAGGTGTCTGTGTCAGAGAAATCGGAAGGAGAATATTCTGCAGGGGATACTATCCCCCCTGTTCGAGCCATCCCATGGGATCTGCCGGAAGAAACGGGTACAAGTAATATTTCAACTGTGACATATGAGCCAGCACATATACTGCGGCAAAACGCTGAATATTTCGACTCTGACCAAGATGGGATTATCTGGCCAAGGGATACGTATAAGGGCTATAGGAAATTAGGTACGTCTCCAGAGATTTATAGACAGGCATTGACAGCTACTGACCAAACTCCTAGGATGGGGAATCACGTACTCGTGCTTGGTTGCATCCATCCTCCATTCAACTCTCTCATATCCTACCGGGGACAGTTACACCCCCGACCCGTTGCTCCGAATTCGTTACGACGGCAAACATAGTACTGGCAACGTCTCTTACGATGAAAAGGGGCAGGCCAGGGGTAATCAAGTTTGCGAGACCATCTTGGCTAAATACGACAAGAACAATAAAGGGGGCATGGATATCCGGGATATCCTACGTTTCTGTAAAGACCAGAGATCCGTATCTACTTGCTACGGCTGGAGCCTCACTGCTTTAGAATGTAAGCTACTTGTTAATCTTCCCTTTGATTAATTATATTATTATTATTAGGGATACTGACGGTTGATAACAGGGCTAGCCCTATATCTTGCGCTTCGACAACACAACGGCATCGTAGGCAGCGAAGACATCCGCACGGCCTTCGACGGCAGCGTCCTGTTCAAACGATCCGAGGAGCGGCAGCGGAAAAATGAGACGCATCATAAACATGCCGCCACAAGAAGTGGGTATATAAGTAGAAGTCGGAACCAATTCGATCCAGTGAAGCTTGCCGTGGCAATTGTCGTCGGGCTCGCCATTCTTGTGTGGGTTTTAATGGGCTTATACCGTGACCCTTCCGGCTTGGAAAAATACTGGCCGAAGAAGGAAGACACTCCTAAAGGGGCAGATTGGACGAAGCAAGGGTTTGTGAATGATTGGTAAAGCGCACTCTTCGTTTGGGCTGTTATATCCCCAGATCAGTAAGCCACCTAGGATAAAGAGTTTCTATTTGCGCAATCATCTAATCTCAAAAAGTTCATAGTTGCTCCTGATGTAAGAAGGTAGTTTCTCAATCCTTACTCGTATTCTTATACGGGCTGAGTAAGAGACATGAGGGCATGAGATCGACGTAAAGCTAACCTAGTAGTTTCTTAGGTTAGACGACTAGCAATATGCACGTCTATATCGGCGCAAATAGACAGTCTGGGTTTCATCATTCATAATTGAGGACTTTATTCATATCTGAGGGATTCCATCATCCTAATCATAATATCATCGGGCAGGTACTCTCTCCTGCCTATCTAGACACGCCGTATTGTATGAAACAAAACATGCACGAAAGCATGCGCGAGCATACAAAGGGTATGGGGTAATCGTGCAACTATAAACGTCCTACTGGAGTCTATGATGGGTAGGGTGAGTGAAAGGTGTTGATCATTGTAACCACTTCCAAAACACATTGTCTACCAGTTCAGGTCTTGCGGCGTCACACTTACTCTTCTCTTCCAATATTACTAGGTAGCTCCTAGCTGAAGAGACCCTTGCCAGCCCTCTTACCCTTGGAGGCGAGCCCTCTCTGTCGGGCGCTTTCTGTAGAGAACACCGGGGCTAATATTGCATCATCTGTCTGGGAACCGACGTCGGCTGCTCGAAAGCCCTCGCCATCCTTGAACATAGTCGTATAGAGGCCAGCTAGAGCTACGGCCCAAGAATCCATAGCCTGTACTCGTTCGGCATCGTCGTCTGATTCTATTTCGAGCACACCAGTCTGCTGGTCAATCTTACCTTTGACCTTGCCATCTACGATCAAGAAACCGAGGATGTCCTGAACCTCTGCCTCCGATATCTTGAGTTGTCGTGCAATCCAAGCAAGCTTCATGCGTGTGTAGGGTGCGATCAACTTGACAATGGCTTTGGTACGCATATTGCGAGTAACCTCGTCAATATTCTCCGCGATGAATGGGTCGGCCAAAATGTCTTGATTCTTCTGTAGGACGTTGACGTATGTTTCCATGTCGTCTCGCTGGTACGCATCTACTAGCTCGGTCATGGCGGCAATGCGAGGATCGTTGCGGTAAGGCTTTGTCTCTTGCGAATCGAAAGGGTTGATATCGGACTTCATAAGCATGGTGGTAAGGAGAAGATATTTGAGGACCTGAATTCGCTGTAGGGATCCGGCCTCGTCATAATTGCGGAACGACTCGGAGAAGTCACGTTGTGCATCTTCCCAGTTTTCTTCACTCATATGCATCTTGCCTCCACATTCACAAATAATACCCATGATCTTCGGGTGAGGTACCGCAGAGCGTACCTTAAGCGCTCTCTGGTAGAGAACCTTAAGCTGCTTGTTGTTGCGTGTCTCGGCATACATTTGAATCTCTAGGGCGTATATCTCTAGAGAGTAGGTGCCTTTGCTGGGGTCATCCGTACCATCTTCTCGTTGACAGACTTTCTGTAGCTCCCGGAGCTTCTTGGTAACTGCAAGGTATTCTTTACGGTCAAGGAGAAGTTTCGCGAGCTTGATATTTGTCTTGAGCCACAGACGCTCGTTGTTCGTTGTCTGGAAACAATTCAGTGTCAAGGAATAGAATTGTTCTACAGCTTTTCGCGCTGCCTCATTCTCCGACTCCTTCTCGATATAATCTAGCATTTTTGTGATGGATGTCTCGGAGTAGTTACGTGTGACAGCAGACTTGACGTATGTAAGGAGTTCGGTGTAATGCTCCACGGCCTGAGTTTAGTTAGTCAACTGATAGAAGTGAGGATTATTTGGCTAATGGGGAACCTGACCTGATCATATCTTCCAAGTCGAAACTCTAGTTTGATGGCTTGCTTCAGTCCTTTGAATCCCCAGTCACCTTTCTCTGCCTCAAGCTCGGGAATGCCTAGAAACTCTTTGAGAGCTTCTTCAGGATCATCATCCTTGATCTGCTTCGCATTGTAGTACTTATTATCGATATCGACGTCGCCGGAGTCCTCAACTCCATCTTCGTCCTCATACTCGAAGTCATACCTGCGAAGTTCAGCTATTAGCGGGCCAGTAATTGAATGGGGGGATAGGTACATACTGTTCCTCATCGGACTCTTGCATAAAATCCTCATCGTCGGACATCGTAACGGTATTCAGCGTAGTAGATGATTTAGTCGTAGAATATGTATGGCTTGGTGTGGATAAATAGTTGAATTTCGTGGAACGCGGATTTTTTGCTATAGAATTTCTTGTATGAAGTTGTTAAGGTTACGCTTTTGTGCTTCGACGTGATGCGAACGGTACCTTTATCTTATCAGAGCTCAAAATGACTACGGGAATCTACGACGTGGGGTTGCCTGGCTTTGTGGGGTTACTTCCACCTAGGAGGTATGTACTACCAGTGACCACTGCTGCCCCTGCTGCCAATTGAATATAGGTATGTACCTACGTACCACCCATGTCTCTGTATGTACATAGTACATGTCCATAGGCGTGGCTGGGCATTTTAGGTGGCAACTACGGATCCGTACCCAGGTACCTATGAAAGATCCATATTTGCGACCGGACAAACAATAAATCATCCACCTCAACTTCCCATCATCAATCCTCAATATCATATCGCCCTTCCTAACGTTTGGATCGCCTAAGTCGCCAATATGTCGTTGCAACTAAAAAAATCTTACCATCCCGCCCTCCTCCGAAATCAACGACGTGTTTACGAGGAGGAGCAAAAGGCCTTAGAAGAGCGCAAGAAGACCGAAGCTCGCATCCAAGAGATTAAGGAAGAACGCGCCAAAGAAGAACTCCAAAAGCAACTTGCTATTTCTGGAGGCCGTAAAGTTGTTGATCGCGTAGATTGGATGTACCAGGGCCCTAGCGATGGCCAAAATGGTACATCTGAAGAGCTCGAGGGCTACCTACTTGGAAAGCGACGCATCGATAACATTCTAACTAAGGGGTCCGATCACGAAAATCTCAAGAAGACTGCGGGCCCAGAGAGTTTCATGGCCCTACAGAATGCGAATACAGAAAGAGATACCGCGTTAAAAATTCGAGAAGATCCTCTTTTGGCCATTAAGAAGCAAGAGCAGGCGGCATATGAAGCCATGATGAACGATCCCATTAAGAGAAGACAACTACTCGCATCCATGGGACAAATAGATGAGAAGAATTCATCGCAAAAGAAGGAAGAGAGACACTCGAGACGGCATAGGCATAGATCGCATTCCAGAGAACATCGCCACCGTCGACATCATCGATCCGACTCGAGGGAAAGAGATGAATCAAGGGAACGACGACATAGGCGTCGCCGGGCCAATTCGAGAGATAGGTCCGAAAGTAAAGATCGTCACAGTTTAAGCAAAGAAACAGAACGTTATACTGAGCGACCTAAGCGGAGGGAATCAGAATCCAGGGGTGAACACCGAGATAATGATAGATTGCGCAGAGACCGATCAAGAAGCCCGCGTCGTAGTGATACCAAGGACGATGGATATCGTCAACGCCAGGAATATTCTGGGGAACGGCCGCGAGAACGGCGACGATATTCGAACGATCGGAATGATGGTGACCGCCGTGATTACCGCGATCGACGGCCACACAAAGATGGGCCAAGCAATAATCGCCATAGTAAGGTCACCGGTACCGACAACTCCGCAGAGTCAGCCGCAGAAGAGCGAGCTCGCAAGCTCGCAGCTATGCAAGAGGCTGCATCTGAACTCGATCAAGACCGGGAGAAGCGCTTAGCAGCGCTCGCAGAAAAAGAGCGCCAAGAACGAGAAGCTGACGACAAAGCGCGGGAGAAGTCTGGAAAATACGGAGACAGGGAATTTGTGAACGGTTTGCGGAGACAAGTTATTTCCTGAAAGAAGCGAAACATTACCGCAAAACCGGTGCCTTGGGGTAAGGTCTCTTCGGCCTAAACCAGTGACGCGGGGGATTTTCTCAGGCTTCATAGCCTCTAATACGGATAGCCGTCACCCAGCTATGAAGGCAGCTCCCACAGGCCGTTTCGTTACCTGAACGGGTGCGAGCATATTTTTTAAAGTCCAAGTTCGAGTATCTTATCGCTTGATCAAGTGATTGGGAATGGTTATGCGAGTTGCTAAAAACCCTTGGTCTAATAGAAGAAAAAAATAACTTGTGTAATCAAAATGGTCTTCTGGGGAGAAACACTACCGTCAAGAAGTAGACGAAGCTGAGAATTAACTAACCCTAGATGTTATAGATGCCTGAAATGGAGTAGTACGGCAAGATATAAGCATGAGCTTCTACTAAAACGACTGCTCACATTACCTACCTACCTTGGGTACCTAGGTTTAGGTACTCAGTATTAGTTTAAATACAACTTTAGCTATATACCTGTCAATTTCACTTATTTTTAAGAGGCAAAGCTGACCATGAGAGTTCTCAGGAGAATCCAAACTGTGGAATTGTCAAAATGATTTAGACTAAATATTGTATTTGCCCGATCATCCTTTCTCTACTCCTACTCCGTCCGGTACAAGTATGTGCTATTTAGTGCCGCACTAGAGAAACGGTAGACTTGAGGATCGCTATGGTGTCGATGGCTGCTAGCATGCTTAGCGCATTCTCGCTTTCATCATCGGTGTAGTAGAAGGGGGCAAGCGTACTAGGGAATCGTGGATGGGATGTTAGCTAGAGAATGTTAACTTTATGGGGTAGAAATACTTACACATAAGCAGAAGTTGCTGTAACGAGTTAGCGAGTTCTGTGTGCCGTTTCTCTGGTAAAATTTCTCTTGGTCAAGTTTGTCTGTTTCTTGCTTCCTGAGAGCCGCGGGTTCTAGGGGGATGGGAGCTCGCCGGTCATCTTGATCAAAACCGCGTCACCCCACGGGCTCTGGACAATCTTGACGCCTCCCTTGGGCTTACAGGCATTTACCACCGGTTTTTTTTTCATCGGCGAACGGTATGTCCTCTACTAAGGACCGGTAAGAGAAGTTGCCGACATCTACGCATAATTCAAGCCTTTCGATAGATCAGAGGTTACTAAATTAAGACTTAAGTAGTACACAAGTATATATGTTTTGTTAGTCTCTCATCACTACCTAGTTATAATGGGCATAGCCTATACACCCCATATGTCCTCCAACAGGGGATGACTTAAACCGCACTTCTGATAGTGACAACCAAGAAGGAGAATGGCTTCGATGGTAGGCATACTATATTTGCGACTAGGACTTAGCTACGCTAGGTTAAGCAATGGTAGTGGATACAACTCACAGAAACCATTCATCAGTTACAGTTGAGGAATTGAGAGATATTTGTTGAGAATGTTGTAATTAGTTGCGGCCCGAACCTGACAAAGGTCCAAGACATTGAGAGAATGGTCGGACATTATTGCCGTACGACATGTGCAGCGTAAGCGGGCCGCTTCCCGGACCTGGTGTGACTTCAACACTGGAAAAGATACTAGGATCCGCTGGGGTAAACTTGCGACTGCTCCGAAAGCAGGGGATCATGTTTTCAAACGCGTAGTTATATAAGATCCCCAACTAACTCTGCCCATTTATCATATAGTCTTACAACTCTTGAAAAAACCGTAACAATAATGTAACTTTCCCCGGTAACGCAGCCTTATACCTGAATACGGCAAGTAATACCTTAATCCCGAAACAGTTACTTTATCTAGTGTAACTAACGAAGAATAAAAAGTTACCAACATGCAGCATTGTTGGTTCTTAATTTATCAAACTTCATGTGACGAGAGGGGTTGATCGGTCGACGTTAGGTACTTTTTCGTAAAAGACTTGAATCTTGGCAAGAGTCTTAGTGGAGGAACTTGAGGATCATTCATATGTTATATCCTGCTGCATTTGATATTTGACGTGGCAATAACTTGATAAACAGCCCTTATGCTGCGCCTTATTATGTTTGAAAAGAGGATTGGCAACGGGTGTGCAATATTTACCTAGGTATCTTAAGAATATGTGAAAGGTGTCACACAATATAAGCAGGCAGGATACGAATTATGTAGGCACTTAACCTATGTAGCTTAGGACATGACCACAGTTGACCTTTTGGCATTGCCTGCTCTTTCAATTTTCGATGGTTGTTTCACATTTGTTCCCATATTCTGCTTCTATAGCAGCGGCACCCATCGCTGTCTCTTGTCAAGATGCCTTTAAGATAATGCCATACTTGTTCTCACCTATATCTGCTACAGTTTTGCTCTATGTGTACAGACTTCCCAAAGCAGACTAAACTCTGATATATATCGTCTCGCCGTCACTAACGCATAATAGGTTGTTCTTTTCGTCAATTACCGGCTGACACTACATCCCCTGAGCGCTTACCCCGGGCCCATTTCCGCCAAGTTGTCTGATTTATACAACCTTTACTATGCGGTATTGATGGGTGAACATATCGCCATCTGGCGAAATCATCAATCATATGGTAAGTCAGAGCTATAACACATCCGAGGTTAACGAATGAAGTAAACTTCAAACTTACGCAGCTGTACTAAAGGTCCTGTCATAAGGCATGGCCCGAATAGGTTGGTGTTCAACACCATCGAGGCTTTGCAAGGTATGTATTTTAATATGATGCTGAGTTTCTGATGAAAGATTGTTAATGTCTTCTCAAGATATTTATCACAATGAAAGGGCTTCCAAAGCTAGTCTATACCTGAACATCATGCAAGCTCCCAATGTACACAGCGTCTTTACTGTAATTGATAAGCGGCAACATCGTGTAAAGCGTCGGTTGATCGGCCAGGCTCTCAATGAGCGAGGTATGCGATTGTTCGAGCCTATTATTCTCCAGCAAATCGATATTTTTATCCAGCAGTTATCTCAACCCTCCGCTGGTTCCAAGCCCATCAACATGTCGCCCATGTTAAGGTACTTGACACTGGATATTGTCTGCCTTTTATCATTTGGATTCCCCTTGCGGACACAAGAGAAAGATGAATACCGATTCGTTTCAGAGGGTATTGTGGCTGGGAACTATTTCCAGAACATGAAGCTACAGTGTCCCCTCTTGACACAACTCCGGATAACCGAAGCCCTACAATTCGTTGGAAATATACGCGAAAAGAGGGAACCATACAGAGCTGTAGTGAAGAAGCTAATTGGATCTCGCATGGCTGAGAACAAAGATGCCAAGTTAGACCTATATTCAATGGTCGCAGATCAAATAAACACAGGAGGGCCAGAGAATATTCAAACAAGCGAGTTGTGGGCAGAGGCCATATTCATATTTGCGGCGGGTTAGTTGCCCCTTATGATCTTTATCTTTAACATAACCTAATAGCTAATCGATTTGTTTACCGTTTAGGTGGCGACACAACTTCTTCTCTCATCGCGGCCCTCCTCTTTTACCTATCTCGCAATTCGCACTGTTATAACAAGCTAGCCCATGAGATTCGAACTTCGTTCAATTCCAGTGATGAAATTCGCAGCGGTCAAAAGTTAGCCAACTGCCAGTACTTACGGGCTTGCATCGACGAAGCCCTGCGTATGTCACCGGCGGCCCCAGGCACCCCTTGGCGGGAACAACTCGACACGGATGATGTGCCGTTCGTCGTAAACGGCCATGTCATACCTCGCGGAACCATTGTTGGAGTGAACGTTTACTCTATCCTCCACAACGAAAAGTACTTCCCCGAGCCTTTCGTCTACAAGCCGGAACGATGGCTCTCTGAGGGATTCGAGGGAAAGTTGAAAATAATGCACGATGCATTTATTCCATTCTCGGCAGGATCTCGCATATGCGCAGGAAAGGCAATGGCCTATTTAGAAGCGAGTGTGACGATCTCAAAAACGTTGTGGCACTTCGATTTCGACAAGGCCCCGGGTAATCTCGGTGACCTTGGAGCTGGAAGTAGAAAGGCTACCTATGGCAGACATCGGGAGGGTGAATTTCAAGTTTACGATGTTATTTCCTCCACTCATGATGGACCCAACTTGATATTTCACCCAAGAGTTCATTTATTATGGGAAAGAGTTGTCTAGGACCGTTGATACACTTCGTTATAATACATTAGTATTTATGTGTTTACCTAGGTACTTACCATAGATAGATATATGGTACGTAAGACCTGGTCTGATCGTGGGGTCGACTCGCTCATGGCTTATCGAGATACGAAAGTGCATAGGAGCACTTTAGGGCTACTGTGGCTGTATTTGACATCATGGGAGGTATGTCTATCTCTAGTAATATAGGGCCTTGGTGACAGAAAGGTTAACGGTGGCATTGTCAGGATTCCAGGTGAGACATCTAGATCAAGGACATGTTCAGTATGTATAGACGCAGACCCTAGTAGTTAGGATTACAGTTCCTTGTGGAACAACGAAGTTGTTTCCATGCTTTTTAATTCCACCTCTTGACCCTCTTGACAGGCATACTTCGATGTAATTGTCTTGTCAGAATTACAGGAGCCTATCGATTGTGAAAAGAAACATTTTTTTCTTTTTACAAACGACTAAGCAATTTTTAAGTAAAGGTCCAAGTTGCACCAAATAAGCGTATCACGCTTCTACGAAGTTATACTTTATGTCAGAGGACAAGTGAAACTAGTATGAATTAGATATAAGGAAGGAAGGTCAAGCGTTAATAAATTGATAGATTCATACTACTACATGGTTACTACATAGCAGCTTTGCTGCTCCTCGTAACATTCACTCTGCGTATGACATCCATCAAGGGGTATCTCTGACATTTCACTATAGTAGAGGCGATTACGGAACCCAATGATGAGGTCAGAGTGAAAAGAATGAACAGAACCTCAGCCTGGATTGGAGAGAGTGTGTTGACAATCTAGAGTCATTGAAGATGCTGTAAGATGATACAAAAGAATGGTGCACCGAAAAAGATAATAGCGCCTCTACAAAATGTGAGCTTTGGTTTCAAGATGAGAAAAAGAAACGTATGTACATTACTCACAGTAACATACCAATCCATACACGACTACAAACAAACCGCCATGGGAATAACGGCTCTTGAATACCTTCACGTATAGTAATATGGCACTCCCACAAGAGGAATGCGATCCAACCAAGTCAGGAGATAGTCAAGAGTGTAATAACAAAAGCTGACTTCCAGGGAAATCCTACACCAGTCTCTTCCAGAGATGCGATTAATAGCAAAGTAGAGAGGAGGAGTAGAACCGTTCCCCGTTCCAAGGAAATCCAACCGTTGAATTGATTGACACGAGAAGATGCGTCTCCCGCCCGCTCGTTCTTGTAGAGGTAGCCATATTTGAACTTGAACTTCGGAAAATAGATTTACATTGTGCTATGTACCTGTACCAACCTTCTTTATTTAGGTACCCCGAGGTTATACCAAGGGAGGCTGTTCAACTCCCTTGATTTGATAGCAAACAAATATCAGCTAGCGAGGTCTTATTCCTTCATGCATCCAATATGTCGGTTTTGGTATATATGGTTCTGGGTTATAAGGCGCAAGGGAGTGTTCGTTGTGGATGTATTGCTGCTCATGACTTCCCTCAGATACCGCAACCCCCCCAGTATCAGGGATGTATATCGGTAGCTCATATCCTCTCACACTATTATCTGTGTCTTGACCGAGCTGTGGTGAAGTGTTTCTTTGCACACTCCTCCTTTCCACCGATGACCAGCCGCTGAAGCTGTACCAATGCTTCCGAATTGAAGAAACGCCAGGCCAACTACTCGGGCTGAGTTTCACAGCCCGGGTAAACAGAGGCCAGCATATTGGAAGACATGCACAGACTATACCTGTGCAGCAGTGAACTGTCGTCCATACTTCTGTCCTACCAAACGACGGCTCACGGCTCCCAGGTACATAACTCAGGATAACTTTAACGATTCCTGAGAAAATGACGCTTTTGGTTGTAGTCACAATCAGTCCAAGGCGAGCAATTATGAATGGACATTGTAAAAAACACTTACAAGACGCCTAGCAAGAACACGCCCGCAACAGCAAATTTCTTGCCTTTATTCAGATTTAACCCTATCACTACCCTAACAGGCATGATGATAATCACGATATCTAGACAAGCCTCCACGATTCCACTGGCAAGCCAAAATATGTTATAATTGAAGCAGTACCGTGGATCATCAAGCGCATTCAACCACGTCCATTCGATCGGAATGCAATCGAGCAGATCGGCCACAGTGCATCCGATCCAGAAGCCTACTACAGCCACGGCAACGATGATGGCTTGACGATGAAACGAAGCGTCGACAGAAAATAACCGGTTATACATCAGTAGAATAGATACTTTGGTCGCAGAAGTGATGGTAAAGTAGAGCACTGTCCCGATGTAGCTCAGTTTGGTGAACTGGACATCTGCGGGTGTGTACTGGTAGCTGGGGTCTGTGTTAGACGCCACCTCGGCGCCATCCGGATTCACGCTGGTCGCTAAGAGAGGTTACTCGTAAGTCAATAGAAGACTTGGATCTCGTTCAAGACCCTACGAATATCAAAAGGGAAACAAACCGTACAGCACCAACACATCGGTCAGGATCGTAGCTACCAGTGCCACTAGTATAAGCCAGTCATCCCATTTGAAGCCAGCTTTTGTATAGTGCCGCGAGTAGAAGCGTAACCCGACCGCTATAGCAGCTAGAACTACCACTATAGCTCCGACGTCTGTTGTCACATCTTCGTTGCTCATTTCAATTGAAACATATCAGAGAACTATTCTGAGAAGTCGCTTTCTTACCCACGGGGGTTCTACTGGCATATTGATAACTGTGAATGCTCTCTAATAAATATTCATACGTTCTGTCTCTTACCGCCGTAGAAGTTGGCTTCATCGTGCCATAATCCTTCTCGGGGGAATGGTTCTAACATGGTGTAGGGCTATGATGTGCGATTTGTGACGATATCGTGTTGGTAGTACAAATAAATCCTTGATGTAAGAATGTTGGTATTAATATATATTAATATATACCTAGGTAGGCAAGCGTAGATTCGGCAAAATATAGCGAATGATGATTGGTGTGTGGTCGCACAACAGACGATATAATATATCTCAAGTAGGAAAGGCGGGCTCGGACCGGATCGCCCCCCTGTTTTCGGGGTCCATGAGGTAGGCTACTGGTAGGTTGCAGCAGGCCTGGAATACCACCTACCTACCTACCTACATACCTCATAGTATGTACCTAGCTCGCCGGATATCACTTCATAGGGATATTAATGTAATGTCTCAGAGGCGGGCAGCGCTAAAGAACAAGGAAGCAGGGGGCGAAAGGGGCGGAACCCGACGCAGCAATATAGACATTTCTTACGGGATGAGAAAGGCAAAGCTTTTCTATTCTCTCACTCGACCTAGATATATATACGCCGTCTATTGTCTGGGCATTCGCTTCCCTTGTTCGGGGCAAGTTTATCCCGTATTTTCGTTCTAGACGACCTAACGTGATATGTAAGTCCACCCGTCGCAGAAGTATTTTCATCGCCTTGCGGGAAGTAGCTTTAAGACTAGCACTGACTTAGAGGATACATAGGAAAGCCCAGCTACCGACATGGGGTCAATATTGTCAAAAAACCAGTTTCCCGTGGAGGGCAAGGTACGCAATCGAGTCAGCTCAAGTACGGTGAATTGAATTGAATTGACAAACCTGAAAGACTGTGATTATCACCGGTGGCTCGCGAGGTATGGGGCTTGCGGCTGGACGTCAGCTCGCTGAAAAGGGGGCCAACGTCGTGATTGTTGCTCGCGACCAGGAAAAGCTACTTCAAAGTCTCGAATACATACAAGTACATTCTCCTAATTCCAATACTCGCATGGTTTGGGTCTGACTTTGCTACAGCAAGGAGCTATAAACCCTCAAACACAGCGCTTTCTCCAGATCAGCGCCAACTTGATCAATCCATCCGAATCTGTACGCGTCATCGATCAGGTACTATCGTGGAACTCGGGCAAACCTCCAGACATCGTGTGGTGTTGCGCAGGCAGCTCGTACCCAACGTTATTCATTGACACGCCCCTATCCGAATTTCAGACTCAGATGGATAGCAACTACTTCACGAGCCTGTATATGGCACATGCAATCCTGACATGCTGGCTGAAGACATCGCGAAAGGCCGTCGACGATGTTCGAACAAAAAACCCACCGCCCGCACGCCACCTCATATTTACCGCTTCTTTCGTAGCATTCTACAGTTTCGCCGGTTACACGCCGTATAGCCCGTCCAAGGCCGCAGTACGAGCTCTTTCCGACAGCTTGTCTCAAGAGATGAACCTATACGCCGCAGCCTACCCAAACGAACCGCCTGTCCGGCTCCACACCGTATTCCCCGCTACTATATACTCAGAGGCATACGAGGCTGAAAATCGCATCAAGTCTGACCTGACCAAGATGCTTGAAGAAGGGGACGAAGGCCAAACTCCAGAGGTCGTCGCTGCGAAGAGCATCGAGGGACTTGAGAGTGGGCAGGAACTTGTTACAACTGACTTGTTAACAGGGCTAGTAAAGCGTAGTATGCTGGGAGGTTGCGTAAGAGGAGGTTTCTGGAGAGTGTTGGGTGACTGGTTTCTGGCATGGGTTTTAGGTATTGTGATGGTGTTCGTCAGGGATGATATGGATCGAAAGGTGAGGACATGGGGCCGAAAGTTCGGCACCTCGGGGATGAAGCAAACTGATAAACATGCCTAGGTTTGAAGTAACAGTCATACCATCCAACGAGTTCCGTTTGTGCTAGTTATTAATATTCGTGTTCTGGCTTCCCCAGAATATAATCTTTAATATATGATACCTTTTGGTTTGAGCCTCGTCATAGTTATCAAGGCTAGCTCCGTGACAAAACATTTACCCCGGGGAATATCGAGTGCTTGTAAACGACGTACTAATATCCCGCAGAAAGACCATAAGCGTATCATGACAGCGATAGTAGCAACGATGGACCCCACCAAAACGAGGCTACATCTGGTGGATCCAACGCGGGCCCGTTGAGAAGCTGCTCCATGGACGGCACTTAGTCTGTGGAAGACATAACAAAGTGTTCATCGGAGAATGTGAAGAAGGGTTAATTTATAATGCAAATGTCAGGTAGATGGCAGGACTTAAGAGAAGCAGGCAAAAATAATAAAGCCTCTAGAATCGCCATGCATGTTAGTAGGTGTATGATTACCAACAAACACTTGAAGTGTCCCTATAGTCTGTAGGCCAAAATCAAGCAACAGCCCAACCGCATTGTTATCCGCCCATAATCATCTCTTTGGGTTGGCGCAGCGCAGCAATCCGCCGCTACTCTACGGCGAAGCACCCAATGCTCATAATCTAGGGAAGCACTGCATAACAGTCACATTTGGGGTCTAGACAAGGGGAGTTGGCCAAGCCTACCAGTTTTTACAGGCAGCCTACCTAACGTTGCAGTCAAGGGCGGCAGGTTTTTCGCACCTCCATAAATACCTAAGTATATATTTAGTCAATGTTTCTATTGGTCAATCATTCAATCTTGAATCTGTAAGGGAGTACTGTGTGATAGAGCCGATCGTCCTCCCTCACATCTTCGTACAGCTTGACGGGACTCAAGTTTCCTATCTAAATATCGAACAATATACGAAGTGGTCATTTGATTAAAAAACAAAGCCCTACTAAAACTTATTTATCTTAGGTACTTATGACCTTGGCACTAACTACGATGTACCGTTTAAATATAAAGACCAATCAAGTCAATCAGGCCAAAAAGGGGGTTGTCATTATTGCGTTTCATTTATCTGCAACCAAGCTCCAAACACATTGGCTTCAATAATTACTACCTCCCAAGGGGATGTTACTGAGATATTACAAGTCGTAGAGTTCACTCGGTTATTAGCTGAATAGTTATATTTTTCAATTGATCGCGCCGGGCACTATGTCTTCCCAGAAATTCCAGGTTACTTCAGGAGGCGAAGGTTCGACTAAACCATTAAATAAGACTACCTAACCTTTGCAGCGTTACTAATTAATCCCCAGAACGTGTCGGTAGGGTTGTTGATGTGATGGGCCCAGCTTTCGAGTTCGACCCCATATTCAGATTCGAGCTTCAAAACTTCTCCCTAGCCGAGCAAAAGCGGATACTACCGAAGCTCTTTCACAGCTTCTTCTTTGCCAGCGCTATCAACGATGGCATGCTACTCGAGGCGGACAACTTCGGGTCTTGTGCTATTCTCATGCCGCCCGGAAAGACGAATGATAACTTCTGGACCGTGCTCCGAGCCGGCCTGATACCCCGACTTTTCACTATTGGACCTGCTGCTTGTAAGGTACGCGTCCTCTCATTTCTAGTCGACCTACAAAGTGTCTTATCGTGAAAAGTACATGAATCTCACGCCTTCCAGCGAATCATTTTAGACTACCCCGGCGAAAATAAAGCCGCAATGGCGAAGGCCCTTACACCTGCCGAACAGAAAGCACATTGGTACATCTTCATCATAGCTACGGCAATGGACCGTCGTCGAGAAGGGCTTGCAAGCGCGCTACTTGTGTACATGAAAGACAAAGCCCGAAGTGACGGACGCCCGGTCTGGATCGAGGCTACAACAGCAGTCTCTCGTGACGTTTATGCCAAGCACGGCTTCGAGGTCGTCACCGAAGTTAATCTTGGAAAGGGGCAAGTTGGCCCTGATGGTTTGGTGAAAAAGGATGGCGAAGGAGTTACTGTGTGGCCGATGGTATGGCGTCCTGAGCATTAGCCAGCAGGGAGGTACGGTGCGGGTACGATTGTTGCGTAAATAACGTATAATTAATAAAATTGGAATTAGGAATCTATGGGCGTGATTTCAAGTTGAAAGGTTCACTTAATTATTCCGTACCTAAATTAGCATGGAATTTGGTTCTCAGCAGTACCAAATGTGCGTTATATTATTACCACTCTCAAACATCTCAAGGCAACTCTCCCGGATCTGCTACATAAATTGAAAGAAGGCTACTAGCATATGTACCGATGTGAGACTGGCCGAGTAAAGTGAGCCCAATCAAGGAGTGTCTTCATCTAGATTGAATTGCCAAGGGGGTTTCACAGCGTGAGAGAGTATAGTATATAATCGATGTTTATATAAGGCCAGTCTAAACCATCTCGAGCACTAACTGTAGATAGGCAACCCCTGCCGCATACGCTCGTAATACTGACCTTACGTCTACGGCATTTAATAGGTCGGGATAGAAATTCCACCCAAAATCACGAGCTGCGAGTAATCTCGTCCTGGTTGATCTTCAGAGAGAAGTCTACATGCGGCGTGCCTTGGTGGATGGCGCTCGTGGAGATAATATCGACCTCTAATATACTATTATTAGCAAGGAGTAAGTGGTGTGAATAAACAGGACTCACCATTATGCGCATAGTTAAACACGTTGTCCTCGCGCAAACCACCGGAAACCTCTATCAAGAACTCGCGTTTTCCCTTCCACTTCTCCCTTAGACTTCTAGCTGCAATCTTGACACCATCTCCCGTAAAGTTGTCTAGCATAACGACGTCGGCGCCAGCAGCGATAGCCTCATTAGCCTCGTCCTCGTTTTGAACTTCAACTTCGACTTTGAGCGCAAATCCGCCAACCATTTTAGCAGCCTTCACGGCATCGGTAATACTGCCGCGGCTCCACACGTGGTTGTCCTTTAGCATAATCATGGAGCTTAGGTCCATGCGATGTGTATCAGCCCCGCCGACCAGCATGCCGTACTTCTCAACTAGCCGGAATCCCGGCGTCGTCTTGCGCGTGCCCGCTAAAATACCCTCGTATCCCGCGCTGCGCAATGTGAGTAGCATATCGCGGCTGACGGTGGCGATTCCGGAGCATCGTGCTAGCAAGTTCAGTCCGACCCTCTCACCTAGTAGCAAACCACGCGCGGGGCCTGTTACAGTGGCGACTTTAGTCTTGCCTGAGCCGTCCTTAGGGCGGTCGATATAGCCTCCTTCCTTGGCATGCCATTCTACCTCACATCCACACTGCTTAAAGACCTCAGTGAAGAAGGGGATGCCGGCAACGATACCGGCACTTTTGGCCCAGAGAGTAGCACTTCGAGGATGCTCGCCGACGACGAAGCCGGCATAATCATACGACGGCGTGTCCTCGGCTAGCCAGGCGGTAATCTGAGACTTCCAGCTAGGCGGTAAGAGGTGCTCCAAGGAGCCGTGGTGGATGGGCTGATCTGTATGCATTGGAAAAGGTTACGTGATGACGTAAACTGAAGAAATATGTTTGTTCTTGAACGGCTGAGGGGTTAGCTGGCTAGACTTGAGAAGCTCGAAGTGTGGCGCTATTATTGTAGGATGTGATTATGGGCTCGGTTCGTATTTCGTGCTTGTATTGGTCAGGATGAAGTTGATTCTCGGAATTTACATGGAGGTAAATACATGTAACCTAATGCATGTCCCCGTCGCGGTTACCTACATGTACCTCATGAATGTACCTAACCTAGCATTAAGTACAAGGTATCAACTTGAGCCGGTTCAACCCGCTGGTGAGGTGGGCAATAGCTGAGGTGGGGGCGGGGGCGGGGCACTGCCGATCTGTTCCGCTGTAGGTGAACTTCTAGAAGACCGCGTCACTACAGCTGCTACTGGAGGAACACAACTGTTGACAACTGTATTTGATATCCGAGTATTTGATATCCGATTTTTTCATATTTACCTACCTACATACATTTTACCTGTGTGCAACCGCGTCTTAATCAACCACCAATCAACACCTTCTTAATAATACCTTGAATACCCTGATCAACTACAACTCCACCAACATTTTGCCAGAAATAATTTTCTAACTGGATCCATAGATCTCATATCTCTTGCTCACGTATCCTTTGTCTCTTAACTTTGTGCTCTTAATAGCTGACGAATGCCCCTGTCTTCTACTGTTGCTTGATGATTTAAAAGTAGGATCGTGCGGACTGCTTCGGTTTTCTGACCCAGCTCGGTATCCTTCATATCAAGATTCTAATGGCGTCGATTGCCTGGACGGCTTGAAGAGCTCTGGTATGGGAAAGGGACTCGGACGCTTCGGCCGTCGGGGAGATTTTGATAGACCAATGGTAGGGCGCCTGGCTGAGGTTGATATGGCCTAGGGCCCGAGTAGCTTCGAGAAGCTTTTCTATAGGCTTCGGGGAATCGCGCCGCATGCTTCGTGAATTGGGCCTGCAACTCACCTAGGAAGTCGAAGTCAGCCATCAGGCGCATATTCGACAAATTCAACTGTTGGCCTTCAGGAATAGGGTGGAGTAGGCTTGGTCTCCTTGGGATTATGTTCGCTGGCGAAGTGGTTACTTCTGAAGAAGTAGTCGAGTTCGAATATGCGTATGACTGTGGCTGGGGCTGTAGCGGCTCTTGCGACTCCGTTTTCGAATTCGCTTGCTTGGTGTCGCCAGTTCCCGTCCCGTCTCGCTCGAAGGTCAATACGACGCTTTGGTACTGGGTCAACGGACCGAAATGCATGATGCATGGAGCTCCCATCTCCATGTACTTGTTCACCCATGCATGTCTGACAACGGCGAGCAACAGCTCTGGGCGTTGATGATAGATCATGATCACTAGCTTGTCCGGGCTCTCGTGGCTGATGAGGCCATACTCGGAAAGTTCGCGAAATCGAATCCCGAGGTGGCGTAATGGTATAGCCCGAAAGCTGCAATATACCCTAGGGGTATTTGAAAGAATAGGACATGTCATGAAGTCGCTGACCATATGTACGTCGTCCAAGTTGTAAGTGTTTAGTTTCTTCCCGGGTTGCTCCATTCTGTGAATCGAGTCGGCGATGTTGCGTATGGGGGTGATTTCTGCGAGCTCAATAGAGACTTGATGGATGAGGCAAAATAGCGATTTATTCGTAACCAGGTAAGTGACAAAAACTACCGATAGGTCGCAGACAGATGTCTACGAATAATAAAGGTAACCATAGAACGGAGATTGAAGTATCTTCTTAAATGGTAGTCATACCTAACGCTATGACAACGGCAAGGAAGGTTGAAGTTCAACGCACGTACAAACATGCGCATGTCGCTATGGGAACAGCGTCCATAATCTCACTGGTTCAGCCATATCTAAACTTTCCTCAAACTCTGGGGCATCAAAAGATGCGGGAAAGACGTTGCCACGTTTCCCAACGATACTGCAACCCTAACGCTGATAGTATTGTCTATAGCACATGACGCTATGCTAACTAGCTGACAGCAACGAAGAGGCCTCCTGGCAGCGATTGTTATTGTATTATCTTCTAGAATTCCCTATCTAAACCAGACTTATCTATGCTGCCTTGTTGTATACCGTATTATCACTTAACTACGTTCAATAGGTGGCAGACTAGATAGTAACCCTATTTAGATGCAGGTATTCATTAATATTTTACTGATATGTTTATTTCACGAGCGCCTGGGATTTATAATAGAAGCTAAATGAAACTTATATCAAAGTCCCTTGTTGTTAGACTACCTCATTAGAATAGCCGAATATTTCAATGCCATGTTAACTTCTCAATTTCACCGACGCATATATCCCACAGCACAACAAATACCATCTTATATCAATACCAGATTTCTTCCTCCCACAATACATTTTAAATCCAACCAGTGGTACGGATATGTGCTTTCGAGTCTGTTATTACTGTTAGCTGCAAGAAGATTCTACTCCTAAACCGACTCATGGTAGATAAACAAGAAGATAGAGATCTAGTAGAGAGAGATACGAATGGATACTTCGGTAAGCAAAACTAGGAGAAAGTATATAACTAGAATCATAAAACAATAAGATAAACGAAGGAAGAGAAAGAAATAGCCATTTCTCATGCAGGAGAAAAAACATGAAGCGCCACCAATGCAAATCCCCAAAACGAAGGAATACCTTGCCATGCAAACAAAACCCCCTTGTAAATGCGCGCAAATCTAAAACACCATTTTCCAATGAGAAATGCCCCTCGCGGCACATGACGATCCAGCACCGTAGAAGAAAGAGGTGCGGTTTTCCTAGCGCCTTGCCAACCAGAAGCCCGGGGGGTGATATCAAACGACAGACCGAAAAGGAGAAACGGGTAGGAAGGAAGGAAGGAAGGAAGGAAGAAAGGCTGTTGAACTTAGTACCATGTCGGCGCGGCAGGCCAGTGCCGCAGCATATTCTCAACCGCCTGGGTCCATTCGTACTCGAAGCACTGCGCCAGCTGGTCTGCTTCTTCCTGCGTGGGATCGCGGCCTCCCCACATCTCTCTGCGCCAGGCGTCTGCTTGCGCGTACGCTGGGATTAAGCCCCTGTTCGGACGAGGTGAGCAATTATCGCGGGATCCGAAGACATGTGGTAAAAGAAGAAAGAAGGGTGTTTCTGAGAGTGTTCCTGGGAGTAGACTTACTCGTCGCGGATCTTCACCAGGCACAGCCATGCCAGGTTCCAGCTACGGTTTGAATTCGGATCGTTCCGGACGAGGTGGTGCGCTTGATCAACCAGGTCTCCCGAGATGGGATAGTTGCGCGTCAGGCCTCTTAGCTCCGTCAGGAACTGGTTGCTGTTCACATAGTAGTCCCATGCGGAGGTCATCGGGGCCTGGAAGGCTTGCGCGTCTTCCTCGTTTTCGCAGCTAGCGGCAACTCGTTCAATCCGGCAGAGTTCAGTGAGTGTGTTGACTCGGTGAGTGCGTAGCGACTCGATGAGCTGCTGGTGGGATGACTATTATGGTCTAGGTTAGCTAAGATACACGATCAGGTTGGCTATAAGCTTGAAGGGTCATAAGTAGAGTATCAAGGATGGCTGGTGTTGAGTAGTAGGAGGAATTTACGAAGCAAAAACCGTCACGCACTTGTCTTCCCTTGTTACCGCGGGAACCTCTCTGACCACTTCCATTTGATCGTGATGAAGACATTGCGAATAACTCTACACTGTGTTCTAGTGTCCTTGAGTATTGTTTGTGATGGAATTGGTCTCAAACCGACGTGTTTGGTCTTCGCCTTTGGTGGGATGTCTTGAGTATTTTGCTTCTCCTAACTAAAAGTTCTAGAACTCGATGGCTTCGGAGTTAGATGTTTCTCTGAGTCTTTGGCGGAGTTTCTTATGAGGGACGAGTTTGACTTGTGCTCTTTTAACCGGGGGAGGTTGTCGATGTTTATATCCTCGAGTCGAACACTTGGAGAGCCTCTCTCGGTAGTATAAACATAAAGCACGACTTACCAACTAAAGAGTTAACCAATTGAAGCCACTAAAGTCACCCGAAAGGGTGATTCCATGTTAGCAAACGAGGTTGAGCCCGGATCGTAATCTGGAATAGTCTAATCATAGGCACAGGCCCTCTTCACAGTATGATATTAGGAAACTATATTGAGAAAGCCAAGAATTGGTATAGTGATAAGACCGTGAGATTGCGCCGGTCATTGTCCACAGTTAGTGACGAAAGTCATGGGAGGTCCTAGAGAAACACCCTACTCGTGACTATCGTCCAGCCATGAAGCTATCAACGCATACCAATTCTTGTTGAAAGCTATGTTCTATCATAAGGCTCTCCAATAGCAGCGCTTTAGACTAGGGTATAATTAAAGTAAGTAGCCAGTCAGACTCAACTTGCAACTTGAGCCATATAGGGCGTGATCCGACCTTACCTCACCCACACAATGCGGGCTGATGCTGACGTCGCTGCCCATCATGCTAGTTATTCGCATCGCTATTGCGTTGCTTAAACAGCTATTACTCAGTATGGTATAGAAATAGACTGTAAAGGTTAGAGAGTTAAATATGCAAGCAGCTCTTGTCGGTAAAGACGTTAGAGCCGCATCCTGATTGGATAACCATCGATATAAGAGACCCGTATAAAAACCAAGCTATTCCCTTAAGAAAGACCCAAGAGAAAGTAGAGGCGACGAGAAAGGAAGCTATTATTCCATTCCCGATATTCATGTCGTTCCTAAAAAGAACACCTGCTATTAACTTCCAATGGGATTTGAGGGGTGTATTCCGTCGTCGACTTACCCACGACAAGGTTAGAAACCGTGCGAACCCAGAGATCGGCCGTTCCGTGGTAGCGAGCTTCCGCTCCCTGTCAGTAAGAATTTAGTGGCTTAAGGCTGTAAATCTAGACTGGATTGGGAATCATTGTAACTCAACTCTGAATTTGGAGGCTGATTTACTGGAAAGACACCCTTGCCGGAGAATTGTTTAGTTTAGTTCTCGAAGCTCTCTTGAGATAGCGAGATGCGAATTGAAGCTAAGGTTAGAAATAACGTCGAAATAACCTAGTCCAGCTGGACTAAGTACAAGGTTCTATAACGATAGTTAGTAAATATAATATATCCTCTACCAGTGCAACATCCTTGTCAGGTAGCGTCTTAGTGAACACGATACATATGCGGATAGGGTGCCGCCGGATGATAGAACCCTAGCATATCTATCCGGACATCTTGGCTATCCTTGTAGGAAGCCCAATGCATTGTAAATCTGCATACATCAACAATAAGCTAGGAGGCTGAAATAAGGCCGGCCAATAATGTTGCTGTCTTGTAAGTTCTGAGATATAATTGGAAAGATTTGTCATGGAACAAGAGTAGAAGACTTTTGGGTGTTGGTCCGTGATCTAGCGCCCTATGATGATCTTAATACCCTGGTCATCCGAGAACTCAGAACTTCTAGAAGGGGGGACTGCGATCTTTGACGGAAGTGAGCCTATCTGAGCAAGGTCATCATTGGTGGCCTCATAAGCGGAGTACTCCGCACACAGTCATGGCTCGTTCAATTATGCTGTTTGGTATGTGTGCCATGAGGCTGCTGACGCGGGATTAGACAAGTTCGTCAATGCCCCAGAAAGATTTTCCGGTACGGATTGATGACGATGAGGCGATGAGATTGGGAAAGGGTAATTTTTTAGCACACGGGGAAGTGCAACGACGAGGTTTATTATTGGATCTGTCTTATACGATGGCCAATACTCTACAAGAAGAGCCAGGTTTAGAATACTTGGCACGTCAAACCGAAGTCCTGGATCAGAAGGTAGAAAATGCATTCTTTCCGGCGGGGTTGAAAAATATGCCAATGAGAATTCAATGTTCGGTCAAGCTGAGCTGGTCACTTAGCAGGTAAGGCTAGGGCAGTGCATGCGAAAGAAGGAGAACTCTGCTGCTATTGGCTGCTTAGACGCGATTTTTACTATTCTCGGACAAGGACGGACACACCCTTGCATCATCCCTTGCATTATCGAAAGTGGGGGGACTTCTAGAAGCAATGGTACGTACCCTAGATATGTACCTAAAAATAATTGGAAGCGCGGGAGAAGCAAATTCCGGGGTTTGTCCTCTCGTCATCACGGTCGTATTGTCACATGCATGCATGTGTGCATGCAATTCTTAAAGCTTTTTGGATTACATCTTAGGAATCCATGGTCGTGGATGAAGCCATCTTTGAGTCGGCCCGCGAAAAGGATAAATATCGCTTTTTGAATATCGCATGACCCAGAATGCAAGTTCGATTATCTCATCGGATTTATAGTGCTAGAGCCGACGAGGTCCGTATAAGACTCGACCGTACCTAATACAGTACCGCACGCAGTGCTTGAGTCCGTGTGTAAAAATGGCGGGAGAGGATCTGCTACTTCCGTACTAACCATCCTTGTAAGTCAAAGAGCCTCTTGCATATATAACTCAGTACAATAATAGCCGTGTCTCTCGGCCGGTTTAAGCTAACCAGGAAGAGGCTTTCATAACCCCGATATTTGTCTTCTTGGGTCGTCCGCTTTATGATCCTTGTCAATACATGATGGTCGGGAAGTCGGCAAATCGACTTGCTCCTCATGACATTCGGGTAATTCGACATCATATCAACAAACAGACCTACCCCCACCTATGTCTCCTGAGGCTCATCATGTCACCTTCATCTGGTATCTATCCTTGGTAAGAAATCAGTTCGCTTAAGATATTCTAATAGAAACAAACGTCCGATCTGGAGATATACTAATCGATTGAAATGCATAAGGTAAGTTCTAAATTTGGTCCCGTCAGAGACCGGTTTCGTCCCATTTCATGCCCTAGCATGTAAATCTATCCATCATTATCATTATCACCAAACTTCATAGTTATCACTAATTAAGTCCGGCTCGGTGACCTGAAGTTTAGACGCGCGGCATGACCTCCTAGTCCTATTACCAAACTAGGCTAAGGTGAAGCGGCTTGAACATCAATAGCGATTACCATCCAAGGGCATATCCTCTCTTGTATCACATAATCCTTTTGCTCGGTGAGTAGGCGAACCCAAGGACTTCCAATCTGCGAATTCAATGCATTCCCGCTAAATATTAATAAAATCAGCCACTACTATTGGTAGTGTTGCGTGGCGGTGTAGCCTTCTCTTATCGCCGCCGAGATCATACAAGACATGCGTGAGTATAGAAGCTAGTCGTTACACCTTTATAGTATCTTCCGAGTTCGACGCCTTCAACAGACCCATGTAAGCATACGCTATCGACGTTCCTATCTTATATATCAGAATAGCATCATGCGTCATTGCTCTGGTTTTGGTGTTCGTCGACATCAGTCTCCTCTTCGTATCCATCGTCCGTACTTTCAAGACCTTCGCCATGAATGGCGTAACTTCCTAGCCACCCAGCAAGTGCTACTCCTGCGAATAAGCCCCAAGCAAGAGCCTCGCCCTTCGGCTGAACATGAGTTGAGACAGTATAGAGCCCGCCGGAAAGGAAAGGGCCTACACTCCTGCCAGCAGCTGAGAGAGTCTGCGCGATGCCATTGAGTGTGCCTAGGCTTGCGTGGGTTGGTGCCGAATTTGTTATCTAAACACGCGTTAGCTATGCTTTGCGGTGGACTCTTGCTTAGGGAAACTTACCAGCAACATGACGCTTGATAAACCGCCAACAGCGCAGATATTCTTAATGATCAATACGACGCCAATTTCTAGGTACAACCATGTTTTGCTATCGCCAACTCCAAACGGTGGGCTTGAATCTACGTAACCGACAAACGGCATCAATGCCATTGTCACCGCGAAACCGAGTAGGGAACCTCGATAGGACCTAACATTCCCTAGGCGCGACTTCAATGGCCTAAAAAGGAATAATTGAAATAGTATGGTGAATGCTCCCGCGACGGAGAGGGATACGCCGATAACGTCCGCGTGTAGGTCCCTGCCCGTGGGCGTCTTTCCGGACGCAAATATAGGGTATAGACTATTGAAGGAGCTATTTGATAACTGGAAAACCAAATGTGTGGTAAGAAGGATTATCGTCGTCCGGTTTAAGAGTTGCCGCCACGTTGGTGTATCATGCGATAATTTCGCGTCGTCGCTGCTCTGTTCGTCCCCATGAGATTCTAGTAGAGTAGTCTCCTCTCCCACATCCTCCTCGTTAGCCTCTCCCTGCTCGTTGTCGGCGTCTCTACCTTCGGGAGAAGCCAATGAACGTTTAGATCCATTATGAGCGTGCTTATTAGAACCAGAGAACCAGGACAGTCTCTCGAGCCAGTCTGGGATGTCCCCCTGATCTTCCAAGGTTTCCTCAAACCAGATACCCAAAACAATCACGCTGAGCGCCAGAAGCGAAGCTCCTAGTATATTCGGGGCTAAGAATGGATAACTGTCTTTTGCAAACCTGCCCGCCAGTAGTCCACCAAGCGCTGGGCCAGTAATACTACCCAGGCTGTAGACAACAGGTAACCAAGTGAAAGCCTTGCTCTGGTTGCTCCGGTCGGTTAGTTCTCCTAGGCAGGTGGGCACTACAGCCGCATTGCCATTGAACAGTCCCATAGCTATGTGTACCAAGACGATATGAAAATACCGAGTACAAAATCCGAAAGCTGCAAAACAAAAGCATAGAAGTAAAGTGCCGAGTAGCATGACGGGCTTCCGACCGATAATATCCGACAAGTATCCCCATAGGAGATTAGTTGCTAGCTGAGCCAGCGCAAATGAGGAAGCTAGTAGACCGACGTATAAGCCAACCTGGTCATGACCGATTCCAGGAAATGACTCGATCATCTCTGGCAGATAGGGCGATATGGAGTTAAGTGCTGTCTGCTCGGATAATGATAAAAGGGCCAAGAGAGCCAACTGCTTGACAGGCAGAGGCGTCGTCGCGCCGTGGTTATCATGAGCATGAGAGTCGGATGAGGTTGAACCGGTATCCGGTCTCCGGCCGGCCGTCCTCGGTGGTGCCGTTGGAAATGTCTGGTAATGATGCTGAGAAGACAGACGGCGAAGTGTCGAGGATAGCCTGTTTGTTGGGAGAGAGGGTAAAGGTGAGCCGGCACGAAAACTTCCTATAGAAGTTGATCTTGCTTGTGCTCTACCTGGACGGCCGGCCGGCGATGTAGCCGCAATAGTTGCCGCGCGTACCATCTTATATTTATTTTCTCTTTTCAATGGTAAATCCGAGTTCGGAACTTCAACTCAAATATTCAAAAGCCTGTTCATGATATACGCTTGCTTAACTGATCACCGAACAACTAATATTGATGATAAAGGAATTGATTTAATACTGTAGAGTAGGTAAGCGTTGAATAAAACGCCTCCGTACTCTAAGGGGGGATGTAAGGGAAGAAATGTTAATGAAGAAAAACGGCCGAGATTTTGAGGCGATTGGGGAATTCGGAGATACGGTCTAATGATGTAAAAAGGTCATTCATCATTCCATTTTCCCTTGGTTTTTCTAGGCAAATGCTATCGATAACAAGTAACAGGAAGTGGTTGGTAACTACATCCGTGCGCTAGGTTACTGCTTTGTATCACCGAAAGCTAGGTACCCCACGCAGCCGCCCACACCTTTAGACCAAGCTAACCCAGTGATGTACCTCATGGATCATGCAGCAGAATATTAGTCATGCATTATGTAGGTGCCTATTAACGATTAAAGAGGTGTTGCAAACAGGTTTATGACTTTGGGCGTTTACCTATAAATCTTATGACATAAGCAATCTTGTAATAACTATTTGATACTCGGAGTATATGTGTCTCGTAGGTCCATTAAGTGTCGTTTAGATATTCACGTTTATCGTTTGACTGCCGCTTCAGCTTAACTCTGTATTATATTAAGTACCTGAATCAATCTACTAATGGATGGTAGCAAATACGTAGTGCGGGGTGCAAAGTCCTAGCTTTAGTCCTACATATAGTTATTAGAAGAAGCAATCCGTAGATATCTTCCGCCAGTGCACAGCAGAAGTATCTGTTGTATAATTTCAAAGCAGATCTGACCTGTCTTATTCGCTTTCATATACATAATGCATGGCTTAAAATGCTCAACTCATGTTTTATTCTACTTAATTGGTAACCTATGAGAACCAGGCTTTATAACAAGATAGGAAAAGACCTAGGTACAGCGCTTACGTGCCTTATGTACTTACTTTACAAAGCCTTCCACGCATGCGCTTTATATAAGTTATCTTTCGATTACCATACTTTAAATACTTCACAAATCAAATATTCATTATACTACCTATATGTGTATTAAGGCAGTAAAACAATTAAAATATAAGTGGTTAGAAACAACAGGTAGTAAATTGGCGAGGTTAGGTAAATAATACATGTACAGTGGGGCAAAAAAATAAACGTTAAAAATATAAACGCGTAAAATCGCGTATATTATTTTTTACCTACCTTTATCTTTCAACAATGGCTCCTATACTACCACCCAATCTTAAAAAGCTTAAAAAGCACTTATCTCCTTATAAAAAGATAAAGATTGGATTTATATTTAAAATAAGCCTTTTAACCAAATAAATTAAAGTTATAAAAAATATTTTAACTTAAAGTTTATATTAAATAAATGTTTAATATAAGGTTTAAAAATTAACCTTTTTACGCCTTAGTTAAAAACGCTATTATAAATTTAAATTACGAAATAAAAGGTATATTATTTGATTTATTAGTAAAAACCTTTTTATTTTGTTTTTTTAACTTTTTTTTAAGATTGGTTTAAAGATTTATAATTATATTATTATAATATAACTTTAAAAATAAAGTATAATATATTATAAAGTATTTTATAAACCGAAATTATTATAAAAACACGTTAATAAATACTTAATTTTTACCCGATAATATATAAAAAAGTTTTTTTTCATATTAAAAACGTTAATTTTTTTTTAAATAAATTAATAATAATTTAAAATAATAGTAAAAAATAAACGTAAATATTTTGCTAAAAAATATATTATTTTTTAAAATAATTTATTTAATTTTATTTATATATAATTTATTAAAATTTTAATTTTAAAGCGAAAAATTATATAAAAAATATTTAATTAAAAAATAAATTAATAAAACATTTTTAAATATTTTAAAATATATTTAAATAAAAAAAATAGTTTTTATTAATTAATTTATACGGTAATTTTAATATTAAACGCACTGGAATTATAAACCTTATTATTTTAAAAATTTTATAAGAAATTTTCTTATAAATATATAAAAAAAATAATATATTTATTATAAATAATGTATTTATTTATAAAGCTTATATAATTATAAATTAATTACGTAAATAAGTTAAATAAAAAGAAATTATTTTAATAAATTAACCTTTATATTTATCCGATTTTAACCTTATTAAAAACTTTTAAAAAATCTTTAAAAATAAAATTTATTTTAAATATTTTAAGTTATTATTAATACTTTTAAATATTACTTCATTAAATTTATTTATACATATAACATTAAAAATATAAGATAAATTCGAAGAAAAAATATTAAATAAATTAACCTTAATTATATTAAAGAAATTAACTGCCGTTATTAAAATAAAAAGCTAATATATTAAATATTAATTAAATAATATATATATTATATTAAAACCTTATTTTTAAACTATCTATTCCTATTATTACTAAAAAATTAAATGTAAATTAATTATATAATTAATTATTAAAATAAAAGGGTAATGGTATAATAAAAGGATAATAGCGGGATAAAAAAACTTTTAACGTTTATTTTTTCGAGTTACTGTAGGTATGGCCCATATATTGGCTTACAGCTTACCTTTCAAAAAACGTATGACACATGCAGCAACACACCCATTTAGGATGTAACTAGCTCGGATATCGCCTCGGAGAAAGAAATGCTATCGTGTTAATTCATAGATAAAATAAGTACATAAATGAGTACATACTAATATATATCACTACCTATTTTTGATATATATCTAAACCCATTCTCCATAACCCATGCAAGCGTAGCCATTCTAGATCCAGTACCATTGATAACGAAAGTCTAAGTCTCATCAATACCATCAATACACTAAAGTGAATATATGGAGTTCTGTGACGTTTCGTATCGTTTCTCATGTAGCGAAAAGGGGTGTTTGTACTTTAGGAGTTGTACTTTAGGAGGTAGTTCATGTTGAGGGGTTTCTCGTACGTGTTACCAGAAATCCCAAGACCCACCGGCTATAATCATTTAATAAACTCTGTTGTGAAACACTTAGTTAGGTATGGAAAGAGCAAAGCCATTAAAAGTTCTAGGGGCGTAGGGGTCGTAGGGGCGTAGGGGCGTTAATGCCTTAAGTAAAGTTTTCTCCAAGATCCGCCAGATCGGAAACTTCAAGTTGTAAATGCACCTGAAAGAGTCCCCAGGCAAAAAGGGTCAACTCATTTAATCCTTCTTCCAGCTAAGTAGGTTCGACAACGTTGCCGACAATCGTCTTTTCTCCTTAGGGACTCCGACCGGAATATCCTTGGGATCAAAATCTGGTCCGGTGCCCTGAAGATGCGATACCGGATTCTGCTGCGACGTACTGTCGGTCTGAAGACTCGTACTACTACAACAAGTACTCGATTGGTGAGTCCCGTTTTGCGCTGTGCCGTTGACCTTATCGCAACATGGCACCAGTACGCTACTCTCGTTCCTATTGCTGGGAATATCCAACGCCGGATTTCTAGTGAAGAAGTCGGCCGGACGGAGGTGGATCTGGTGGATTTCGACGGGCCTAGTTATCCCAATCCAAACTTGTTAGTAATTCTTAAAATGAGAAGAGGTGCGAAGGGGTGGGAAGGGGTGGGAAGGGGTTCGTGTGCTCACATCACGGGCCAATCCTCAACTCGCGGATTGTGCGTGAGGCCGAAGACGCTCCAAACTACGGGACTACTCTTCTTTCCCTTTTTCTCATCGGCCGTATCATCGTCATGGGCCTCTCCATTCACTGCCCCATTCGCACTATCAACGCCACCATCATCAACAAACCAATCCCCCCTCTCAACCATCGTCTTCACGCCACCCTCCTCCCGCGGCGCCTGGTTCGTGAATTCTCCCGCAGCCCATAGTTCACCATCTCTATATCCGGTAAACCAAAGGTGGTGTTTTGCGAAAGGCGCCCTTGCGGCTTGGACACTCTTATCGTCTGCAAGCATGAGCTGTGTAGCGCTGGGAACTAGCTTATAGCCAACGTTCTTGCCGCTGATACTGTTCTTTTTAGTCGTGTGCTCTAGGCGCACGACTCGATTTAGCCGGGGCTCGGCATCTGCAAACCCGGCGCGCTCGACACGCTTTCGTCGAATCTCGTATCCGTTGCCATAAGGATTTGTCTCCGGATTCATTGGTATGGGATGGCTTTCTTCAAGAACTACAGCTGTGTCGCCGGTAACGTACGAGTCGATGGCCGGGTCGATACGTACCGCGAAGATGTGCTGGTGATTTTGTGCCATTACCCCCGGATTGACAATATTGCCATATCCCGATACCTTACCCTCATCGATGGGTACGACGCTTACGATACCCGTGGCCCGTGTTTCGATCGAGATGCCACCTGCTGTATCTAACTTGTACGCAAACACGTATTCGTAATTCGCTAACGTGGCGACGAATTGCACGACTAACTCACGTAGGCGTGTCACCGCTGCACGATTCGTCCGGAAGTTGGTGTGTTTCCAACCTATGCCGTTGTCTTGCTCATGTAGACAAATTACGTTACTCGCCAGATCAGGCTTGCCCTCTGTGTTGGGCACTACGCAATCGAAGTAATGTATTGCACCTAGACAGTCGCATCCTAGTTTCAGGTTGTTGGCCGCGCGTCCGATCCCACCGTCCCCAAAGTCAAAGGCTTGCTTGCGGTGAAAAGGTGGGCGCGGGTCACCGTACGGGACGGTCATCTCAGAGAAAGATAGCCGGTATATTATGGGCCGGTTGTCATAGCAGACATCGTGGAGCACAGCGCCCTCGCGGGCCGTAAAGCCAACACGGAAACGCCATTTTTGCCACTCGACAAGATTGTCGGCGTGGACTTTGAAAGATGCACCCTCTGGCTGGGTAACGTTGATGGGTTTTAGATCGGTGCGAAGCGGCTGGTCCAGCAGCTCTGGGAAGTATTCTGCAGGGCCGCAGTTCTCGAACAGCTTCTTTGGCTTACCTCCCGGAGGGGGTGGATACAGGCTATCCCCAATCCCACCGGTGGCGAGGCGATCCACTCTTATTAACTCCTTGGTGGCTGTATCCATGATAGGAATTATAGGT